ACCATGGGGCCCTGCACCCATGTGGGAAACTCAGATGGCATTCTGGGCTCCTGGCTTTAGCTTGGCCCAGCGACAGCCTTTTGGGGAGTGAATGGAAGAAAACCTCCCTGTCTTTACCTCTGTCTCTCTCTCTGAAACTCTGCTTTTCAAGTAAAATAAATACATTTTTGCAAAACAAAATAAAAACAACTTGGAACAAATTTCAGGAAAACCCCAAACTGCTTCTTTAAGAAGCAATCAACTTGAGAAGTTTAAGACTTCTCCCTTGATTATTTGAGTCTGTAGTTAAGATTGCATTACTTCTTCGACCCTTTTAAAAAGAAATCAATTAAAATAGAGAAGATAACAACAACAAAAAAAATCCCTGTACCACTTAGTTACTCATATGAGTTATTTTAAACAGTGGCTAATTTCAATGTTATCTAAACTCAAAGACTAGGAAAAGAGGAAGTATTTGCTAGTTTGTGTGGCTGGCATAACCTTAGTAGAATAGAGTATAGATGCTGTGTGTGCAGATACGTAGTTATGGATGTCTTAACCACTTAGATGCAGTCCTGGCTTTCTATTTTAAAAATTCGCTGATGTAGTTCAGATTCAGAGGGAAACTCTTTTATCTCAAAAGCACAAAGCATCGAAAATTCCACAAACGTTTATGACAAAAATTCTTAGCAACTATGAATAGAAATATGTTTTCTTAACTTGTTGAAAGCTCAAACCTATTGTGAAATTCCAGAATTTAATTTAATTTATTTGGGAGGCAGAGAGAAAGAAAAATTGATAACTCCCACCTACTGTTTTCACTCCTCTGAAAGCCACAACACTGGGGGCTGTACCAGGGCTGCAGCTGAGAGCTGGGATCGAGCTCCATCTCCCAGCTACTTGGGCCATCACTGCTGCCTCACAGGGTACACACCAGCAGGAAGCTGGAGTCAGGAGTCACAGGTGGGCATTGTTCTCAGGCACTCTGATGTGGGATTTGAATGTCTTAACTTGCCAGGCTAAACTCCTGCTGCAGAACTTTTTTCAATCTTGTTTAAATCTACAATACCTGCCCTCATTGTAATAAATAAAAACAGAGAAATGAAAGTAAATAGTTTGAAAGAAATTTATGTATTATTTATAGATGATATTCTATTTAGAGAACTCCAAATAATTACATGAAAATTAATAGACTTAATAAAAGTTAGCAAAATCCCTAGAGTTAAGATCAAAATATAGGGGCCGGGGCTGTGCTGCGCTTGGGACACTGGCATCCTGTATGAGCGCTGGTTCACAGCCCAGCTGCTCTGCTTTTAGTCCAGCTTCCTGCTAATGTGCCTGGAAGGGAACAGAAGATGGCCCAAGTGCTTGGGCCTCTGCCACACACGTGGAAGACCAGGATGGAGTTCCTAACTTGTGGCTTCGACCTGGCACAGATTGGCATTGTGGCCATTTGGGATGATCTCTGTCCTTTCCTCTCTCTGTCTGTCTTTAGAAAATAAATGAATAAATAGGTCTTTTAAAATATGAAAATATAAAGACTAATCATGTTCTGGTATGTCAACAACTGTTATAAAGTATAATTTAACAACATGTGTATAATAAAAGGATAAATAGGTCTTTTAAATTATCAAAATGTAAAGACCAATCATGTTTTAGTATGTCAACACTGTTAGAAAGTATAATTTAATAACATAAATGAGTATAATAAAGCACTTTAAGTTTATAAAATTTTTCTGTGATCTTTAGAAAAAAAATGATCAAACTTTATGAAATGACATTGGAGAAAGCCAAATAAATAGGAAAAATATTAATAAATGGGAAGATAAGTGTTAGAAACCTTTTCCCCTCAGTAACCTTATATTTCACATAATGCTGTTCAGCATTCCAGCACATCTTTCACTGTATCTGTACATGTCTGTGGAGGAGAGCAGAGGGCTTAGGGAAAAGTAGATTTATGATTTCCCTACCAGTTAGCAGGATCTTGTTAAAATGCTGGTGACAACACTGTGGCATTGCACAGATATGGACCCACTGGGCGTCAGAGACTTGCAACTGTGCATGCGGAAGTACTTGGTAAATGTCATCAATAAGAAAGGGCTACTTTGAGCCGGCGCCGTGGCTCAATAGGCTAATCCTCCACCTTGCGGCGCCGGCACACCGGGTTCTAGTCCCGGTCGGGGCGCCGGATTCTGTCCCGGTTGCCCCTCTTCCAGGCCAGCTCTCTGCTATGGCCAGGGAGTGCAGTGGAGGATGGCCCAGGTGCTTGGGCCCTGCACCCCATGGGAGACCAGGAAAAGCACCTGGCTCCTGGCTCCTGCCAGGATCAGCGCGGTGCGCCAGCTGCAGCGGCGGCCATTGGAGGGTGAACCAACGGCAAAAGGAAGACCTTTCTCTCTCTGTCTCTCTCTCTGTCCACTCTGCCTGTCAAAAAAAAAAAAAAAAAAGAAAGGGCTACTTTGCAAGTGCATTGGAGTATCAATTAGTCATGGGAAAAACAAAATGGGTCTCTCCTGTAACTGTATAGAAAAATCAATCCCATGTCTTCACAACGATGCCATAGATTTTTTTGGCTATATAGTGTTCATATATACATATTTATTTGAAAAAATAGGGAATGATGAACAGTGGATTGAGAATTGTATTAAATGTTGGGGGAAGGTAGAGGATACAAGGGGGTTAGCAAAGAGATTTTTTTAGTAGTAAATTTAAAATAAGAAATTCAAACTTTTTAATAAAATTGTTCTATTTATTTGAAAGAATTATAGAGAGAGACATATCTTTCTACCTGCTGCTTCACTCCCCAAATGGCCACAATGGCTGGGCTGGGCCAGTCCAAAGCCAGGAGACTGGATCTCCATCCGGATCTCCTGCCTAAGTAGCAGAGGCTCAAGTATTTGGACTGTCTGCCACTGCCTTCCCAGTCACATTAGCAGGGATTTGTGTCAGAAGCCAGGACTCAAACTGATGCTCGAATGGGATGCCGGCATTGCAGGTGGCTGCTTAACCCCCTGAGCCACAATGCCAGCCCCAAATTCAGGTGTTTTTGATTTTGACTTTGCCTGACTGACTGCTTTGATTGCCTCTTAACTTCTTCAGGAGAACCAAAGGTCTCCACTCATAGGCCAGCCAGCCAGGAACAGGTGTCTACACTAATGGTATACCCTGGACACATTAGTTAATGTCCCAGTTTCTCTGCTTCCTCTTCTGTGAAAGGGTGGCACTTGCTTCATATGTTGCTGTGAGGGTTCTGGGTTGACATCTGTAGTTGTTAGTGGCTTTTAATTTTAGTATAGATTCTCAAATGTAAGTCTTTCTTTAGACTGCTATTAAAATTTTTTGATTCCATTTACTTGGTTTTTAAATGTCATACCTTCTTTTATTGCTCCCTAGCTCGCTCTTAAACCTTTTTCAAACTTTAGGATTTGTTGTTGTGGTGTTTTTTTTTTTTTTTTTTTTTTTTTTTTTGACAGGCAGAGTGTACAGTGAGAGAGAGAGAGAAAGGTCTTCCTTTTCTGTTGGTTCATCCCCCAATGGCCGCTGCGGCCGGCGCACCATGCTGATCCGAAGCCAGGAGCCAGGTGCTTCTCCTGGTCTCCCATGCGGGTGCAAGGACCCAAGCACTTGGGCCATCCTCCACTGCACTCCCAGGCCACAGCAGAGAGCTGGACTGGAAGAGGAGCAACTGGGACAGAATCTGGTGCCCTGACTGGGACTAGAACCTGGTGTGCCGGCGCCGCTGGCGGAGGATTAGCCTATTGAGCCACAGTGCTAGCCTAAGATTTGTTTTCTGCATTACTTCCCTGCAGGTTTTGTCAAATGCTTGGGTGAAAGTGATTTTGAGGGTCGTTGCCGCGGCTCACTAGGCTAATCTTCCGCCTTGCGGCGCCGGCACACCAGGTTCTAGTCCTGGTCGGGGCGCCGGATTCTGTCCCTGTTGCCCCTCTTCCAGGCCAGCTCTCTGCTGTGGCCAGGGAGTGCAGTGGAGGATGGCCCAAGTACTTGGGCCCTGCACTCACTTGGGAGACCAGGATAAGTACCTGGCTCCTGCCATTGGATCAGCGCGGTGCGCCGGCTACAGCGCGCCGGCTGCGGCGGCCATTGGAGGGTGAACCAACGGCAAAGGAAGACCTTTCTCTCTGTCTCTCTCTCACTGTCCACTCTGCCTGTCAAAAAAAAAAAAAAAAAAAAAAAAGAAAAGAAAAGAAAGAAAGAAAGTGATTTTGAACAGTGTTGGTGGAAATTCAGATTGTGTCTTCCTTGTGAGATTGCTATTTTGAGGCGTGCTGTGCTCACTTGTAGCCACAGAAGCCCTGTATTAAAACATAGGTTTAATCCCTATTGCATTTATCTAATATCCAATGATTTTATGATTTTCAGTTCATTTTTATTCTTAGTGTTTCATGAATTTCATAATTGGGGCTAACAGATTGTTTCTGGCATGGCAAATTGTTTCCTAACTGTATGTAGCCCTGAACTATCTTTAGGCTACCATTTCTCCTGGGTACTCTGCATTTTATTATATCTACATCTTCTACAGCCCAAGAACCTGTTATCCACATACTTTAAAATAGAAAGTACTACATATCAGATACATTTGTCCTCGTGGGAGCTGTGTCTTTAGTTCATTGCGAAGTTTAAAAAGTGAGGCTTTTGTGTTTTGTTGTTTTTTTTTCTATAGTATTTTTTCTTAAAATAACAGCACATACTTTCTTTTCTGTTTTTTTTTTTTTTTAATTTGATTTGTAGACAATAAAGAAAAGTTAATCTGGAAAAAGTGGAAAACTCCTCAAGTGGCTGTCACCATGAAAGTATGCTATGCTTAAGTAATTGAAAGTGAAGCACCTGCGGGGCCCTGCCCCTCCACAGGACGCACATGTGCATACTGTCCGTGGTGGGCCTGGTGTGGGGAAGCCCTGGTGCACACAGAAGTCCTGCTTCCTGCGTGGTGGGCTGTCTTCCTCAGGAGGTTGCACTGACTGGAAGTGTTACGGAAACCCTGTTCTTACTGTGTCCTCCAGGTCGTATCCGCACGAGACGGCAGAGCTCTGGGAGTGCCACCAACGTCGCTTCCACACCCTCTGACAGTCGGGGCCGCAGTCGCGCTAAAGTGGTGTCACAGTCTCAACGTAAGAAGTGCATTTTATGCTCTTGGTTACGTTAATTTTTATTCAGCAGACCATTCTCCGATTAAACGTTTCACAATATTTACATTGACTATAGGAGTAAAATCACTTGTGTGTGTGGTTCTGAGATACTGTGAATAATCTTATTATTTGTTGGGTATGCTTACAAAATGGAACATTTCAGGCACATTTGTGACTCCTTTCCAGGTGGTTTAAATTTTGTCACTAAATGTTAAATATTAAAATGTAGTTTCTGCCCAGCTTTGAGGTCTCTCAGATGGAAATTTACCTGTTCTGTGACCCATTTTTGTGTTGCTAAGGAGTCCCTTTGATGTAATTTTAGAGCAGTATCTGGGCAGAAACCTATTAATGCTGAGTTTTCCCCATTGGTAACTAAGTAAATCCATGGAAAGCTTTCCCCTTGTAACCCTCTGTTTTAACATTTGCAGCCTGCCCCTCTCTTCTTGCCAGTGTGGGCCCTTGCTTTCCTAGCTGCCCTCGCTTCCAGAATTGCTTCTCTGTGTCTGTGAAGTCAGTTGGTCTGTGATCACTCTCAGGATCCAACCTTTATGTCTCACTGCCGGCTACATGTGACTGAGTGGCCTGTTTCCTCTCTGTGCATGCCATGGAGCAAAGCTGGATGAGCTGAGTGTAGGAGGGAGAGTCTTGTCCCCAGGAGCTGCACAAGTGCCTCATCACAGCACTCTTCAGCTGTCTTGCATCTGCCTCCTTGGTGGCCCTAGAGCGATCTGACCTGTGTAGGGAAAGTGCATTCAGTCTGCAGACAAACCTTAGGATGCCTCCTACTGTTGAGAATGCCTTCTCAACTCCTTCTCAGTTTAGATTTTTTCCATGCCCCTTTGCTAACTATCATCCAGTGTTAACCAAAGTTCCATTCTTTCTGCAGAGTGGGGAGTCAGGCATGTTGCTGCCCTTGGCAAGATTGTAGAAACTCCTAGGATATAGGTTGTACTGGGCAGTATGATACACTGCAGGTGTGGGCTTCATTGTCCTGTTCACCTGGGTTTGCATCCTGAATTCGGTGTAATGTTGGGTGTCCGTGTCCACTTAAGAACATTCAGGAAAAAAGGCTAGGGATAGGTTTACATGGTGAGAAATGTAAGTGAGGGTAGACGAGTCCATTACAACCAAGATTGCCCTATCTACTGTAGAACTCACCTGCATTTGCACTTAGATCTAGGGTGCAGGTACAGCCTAGAAGCTTCTGCCCCGGAAACAACACCCTGGCTCTGGATATTCTATTTAACAGCAGTGATCTCTGCAGACAAAGAAGGATAAAATGCTCCACTCATAACCTCATAAACATGGGCTACTACATTACTACTACAGAGTGCTTGACAGAGGGTGCTCAAGTCTCAGGATCTAGGTCAGTTTGATGAAACACATCAAATAATACCTGTCTAAGCCTTCAGCTGTGCAGTTACTCGCTCCTATGGAGGCTGAGGGTGGAGCAGTGTTTCACATTTCTTTGTATCTGCCATCGATAGGCATGGGCTTCTGCACAGTTTCCTGCTGTAGCTGGGTCAGTGTTGTATTAAACTTCATGTGTTAACCTGCTTAGGGGGAGGTAAAGATCTAAGTTCCTTCTTTAGTAGGGATGAGGATGATAATGGAGTTTTTTATTTTTTTATTTTTAGATTCATTTATTTGTTTGAAAGAGTGACAGAGAGAGAGGGACAGAGATCATCCATCCATAGATTCACTCCCCAAATGGCTGCAACAGCTGAGCCAGGCCAAAGTCAGGAGCCAGGAACTCCATCTAGGTCTCTCACATGGGTAGCAGGGACTCAAGCAGATAATGCAATTTTAATTCCTCATCCTTATAAAATACTGTTTTTGACCTTGGAGCTTCACTTTCAAAATTCTTTTACTTTACTCACCAAATTATACTCCAAGGAGGGGAGATACACCAAACACTAGCAAATTCATCAAGCCTGCCCCTTAAGCTTATGTCTATAAATTAAATATTTAAAAAAATATTTTGATAAGAGGTAAACATAAGCATATTTGTTTGTATTACAAATGTAGATGTAGTAGCACTCATAGTCCTGGTTTAATACTAAAGTAGATTTTGTTAGTATTAGAACTTCTAATAATGGGCATATTTCAAGTTGTGGTTTTTTTTTTTGTTTTTTTTTTTTTTGTTTTTTTTTTTTGACAGGCAGAGTGGACAGTGAGAGAGAGAGACAGAGAGAAAGGTCTTCCTTTGCCGTTGGTTCACCCTCCAATGGCCGCCACGGCCGGCGCGCTACGGCCGGCGCGCTGCGGCCGGCGCACCGCGCTGATCCGATGGCAGGAGCCAGGAGCCAGGTGCTTTTCCTGGTCTCCCATGGGGTGCAGGGCCCAAGCACCTGGGCCATCCTCCACTGCACTCCCTGGCCACAGCAGAGAGCTGGCCTGGAAGAGGGGCAACCGGGACAGAATCCGGCGCCCCAACCGGGACTAGAACCCGGTGTGCCGGCGCCGCAAGGCGGAGGATTAGCCTAGTGAGCCGCGGCGCCGGCCCATATTTCAAGTATTTGAGAATTAAGGGGCATCATGGGACATTGAGATGAAACTAGTTAGTAGCAATTTTTCTCAAATCATTGATGATTATAGTGAACTTCGGTGAAGCAAGCACTGTTAACATCGGTGTGATACACAAGTGAGTAAGTTACTACCACTTCTCCCAGGTTGCTCAAAGCCGAGGGCACAAGGTGTTCTGGAAGGGCAGGGGCTTGTTTTACTCTAGTCAGCATCTCCCAAGGCCTAACACTGTGCCTGACATACAGCTTCATAAATGTTTCACAAACAGATCTGAGATAATGGTAATCTATCATGATAATATAAAGTAGACATACGTACAAAGTAGAGTAGAAGGAACAAGTCACAGGGAAAATAGCTATCTTGCTAATGTGTTTGTGAACCAAGACGTTTGTGTTGCATGCTGACCTTTTGTATTGTGTTATTGTCTTTTAATCCACTTTTTGCCTGTCCTCTGGTCTGCTCTCATAACCAAGGATCCAGATCTGCTAATCCTGCTGGTGGTAAGCCGTTTCTCTTCTTGACTTTTGTTTGTTTTGCATTCTCCTTACCCCATGGTCCTTGCACACAGTATTAACTTCTCTCTTTACTATGAGCTTAGTTAATCTTCCTGCATTTTTTTCTGTATGATCAGATTCTGGAGTTTGAAATGGATTTCTTTTCCCCTTTTACATAGATTAATAGTCTATAGGCTCAAATTTTGTGGCCAAATTAATACATTGTGAGAAATTCTTCATGGTACTGTGTATTACTAATTTTTACAATGATTTTCACTTCAAATTACAGTTAAGTCATGTTAAAGTACTCATTTTTGTTAGTGGTGGCCTAAGTGATCCATTTGAATGATGATACTCAATATATATATATAATACACATATTTTTAAGGTATTTATATTTAAGAGGCTATGTAATTTCAGTGTAAATGTTGTTTGAAATATTTTTCCCTTCTGATCATCTTATTCTGGTTCCTGGTAATGTACACTTTATATTTTGGGATTTTATAGCCTTTTCTGCTTAGGAGATGATCTGAGTAAATGACTGCCATTTGAGTGTATTGACACTCAACAGTTTACTGACTTGGTTTCACAAAAAATAGTTGTGTAGTTATCTAGGTACTTAGCTATTCATAAAAATTCTTAGCCTCATTATTTGTTTGTAATTTTCAGATCTATTGTTTAATTCTGAGGCAAAGTGATCATGTGATTTCTACTTTTAAAGCTTGTTTTGAATTTACTTTGAGACGTAGTAATATATGTGTGTGGGAAGGTGAAATTGTTGTGTGTTTATATGTGAGAGTACGTGTGTGCATATATGTATGTGTGTATGCAAATACAGTCATGCAACAATTAACAAAAGGGGATATATTCTAAAAAATATGTTGTTAGGCCATTTCCTTTGTGTGAATACCATAGCGTGTACATATACAAATTATACGGCCACAACATCACTAGGCAATATAATCTTACAGATCAATTGTCCTATATGCAGTCTTTCGTTGACTTTAAAGATTTTATGTGTTGCATGACTCCATATACATGTATATGTATATATGTATATACATACAAAAATGCGTACGTACATACTTCTATACACCCATAAATACACAATTTTGACTGCTTGCTTTGTCAATTGCTGTGAGGTATATTAGTCTTTCATTAGTTAAAGGTCTATTAATACTTACTGCTTTTTTCATTTCTCCCTATCTTTTTGTCTTTTTTATACCTTATATTTCAAAGCTATGTTGTTGGGAGCATAAAAGTTTGCAGCTATTAAGTTGGTGGACAATTATTCTTTAATCAATATTAAGAATACTTATTTGACCTTTTAAAATGCTATATTATGTTGTTTTGTTTTACAATGTTGTTTGACAGTTATATACTTTACTTTCATTTATTTTTTAAATCAACCCAAGAATCTTTGTCTTTTAATAGGTGAATCTAATCCATTCACATTTATCATGTTTACTGATATTTGAGTCTATTCCTACTCTGATTTTATTTGCATAGTTTCTAGTTTTTTGTTTGTTTGTTTGTTTTTTTAATCCCTCTCCCTTTTTTCTTCCCTTTGTTACATTAAAGAAATTTTCTCAGGTCCATTTTCTCCAGCTAATGTATAAGAAATTTGTTACATTTAGATTTCTGCTCTTCCAACAGAAGTCACACTCAGAGTGTTTAACACACATGCTAAACAGCTTCATGGTTTCTTATAGAGATTTGCCATGGAATCAAGAGGTCACTTTTGGTTCTCAGCTTGCTCTTTTGAATCAGAATTCTGTGTTCATTTTTGTCCATCAGTAATTCTTTTAAGTCCAGAAAGTCTTTTGTGATACTCAATATTCTATTATGTTCCTACATCTGAAAAAAATTCTGAAATATTATGATTTATTCTCTGATTGCCATCTGTTTTTTTGGCTTCATATTTAGCTGGCAGCCGGTCAAGTTCCCCAGGGAAATTGTTGGGAAGTGGTTATGGTGGACTTGCTGGGAGTTCCTCAAGAGGCCCACCTGTGACATCATCTTCAGAAAAACGAAGCAAGATTCCCAGGAGTCAGGGATGTAGCCGAGAAACAAGTCCAAACCGAATAGGATTAGGTAAGGATTCTCAAAGACTTTGGAATACTGTTCCCTCCTTGATCATAATTTTGATTATAGCCTGTTGATTGTGTGTAATGTAGGAAATGGAGATCTGTTTTTGAACTGAGGATGTTGCTTTGCCTGTGATAAAAAATATTTCGCTTTTGCTTTATATATATATATATATATATATATATATATATATATATATAACCGTATGTTGAAGTTTCAGTTAGAACTAAAAATTATGGGATTTACATTGAAATTGAAGGCAAGAAATTACATCATTGTAGGCTTTTGTGTTCTACAGTCATTTTTCAAAGCATTGGAACTGTGAAAATTGGCAGGATTTTCCCCTCACAATTAGAAACGATGTTGCCTTTTATTTTCCATTCACTAATTAGCATTGAATAACCATTAATCTATATGAATTTTCAAAAGAAATGTTGATATATTTTGATATTGATCTTCTGTAACCTAACTGGTAAAAGTACTATAAAAGAATATGTTTAATTATTTTTTGACAGAAAGAAAGCTAGGAATTGATGGGAATCAATGTAATATTGATTTATGTGTTGTAGTACTTAGTTTCTTTGTGTGTACAGAATCATATGAATTTCTCTCAGCAGCTTAAAGACCTTTTACTATGTTAAAATCTAATCCAAACTCTGCCTATTTAATATAAAAGTGAGAAACCTTTTGTGATATAATGCAAAAAAGTCATAAGTTCATACTCTTTATTACATCTTTATCTACTTGCTAAGGGTAAAAATGTATTACTGTGAGATCAGAATACTCTCTCTTTAAGTCCTGTTTGCTGGCCTTTCTCATATGTTCATCTATCTCGGCAATTTTTACTGGGAGGTCTACTGTAATGTAGCAGACACTTTATTAGGCCTGAGACTTAGAAGGTAAATGAAGCAGATTTTGTTTATGACTTTAAAGAGCTTGTGATCTGCTGGGAAGAGGTAGAACTGTGATATTGAATAAAAGGACTATGACAGGGTGCTGTGAAACCACAGAGGAGGGAGTGCCTTGGGCTATTATTTACCCCATCCTCACAGATTTCCTTCAAGGAGGTGCTGTTTTAGTGAAGTACCTGGTGGGATTAGTCAGGGTGAGGAGATGAGGGGAAGGAATTCTAGGGTAAGAGAAGCATGTGCAGAATGAGCCAAGCGAGGTGGAACCACAGATAATTTATTTGACTGCAGCAAAGGAAGTTTATGAGGGTGGAGTGAGAGTCGAGGGTAGAAGGACTGGTAGGTCTGGCTCAAGAAAGTCCTAGAAGGCCCTCTGGAGTTTTGCAAACAGGGGGCAGTTATTTGAGAATAGATAGGGTTTGGTTTTAACTGATATGTGCAAAGCAAGTAAATGTGTTTGATGCTTTTGTTAATTCTCCATGATGACGGCTTTCTGTTGGCAATATATGCATGCATGGTCTCTTAGCTGACAGGTTTTTGTGGATGTTGATGTGGATACAACCAGAGGAAACACCGTGGCTAGAAATCTACATTTCACATTGAATGCTGAAACATCTCTCTTTGAGTCTGACTTTGGAAAATACACTTGATTTTAAATCTAGGTGTGAGGTTTCTGCTGTCATTTTTCCATAGGTAATTATTTTCACTTTGTAGGATGTATGTTTGAAATACCGGTTATTTTTTTTAACAATTCTTTTCTATTTAGGGATTTTACTTTTTGTGTTTATTAAAGATGCCATATTTATTTTTATCTTGAAGTTGAGGAATAACCCAACTTCAGTTTTCTGATGTAATTCTTAAGATCTGGTGTTCCAAGGTCTCAATTAGGAAGTTTGATTTGTGTAGAGACAAAGACAACATCTATCAATATTTATAAGCTTTTTGTGTTTTGGTAAAGATTTATTTATTTACTTGAGAGGCATAGTTATAGGGAGAAATAGGGAGAGACAGAGAGGTCTTCCATCTGCTGGTTCACTTTCCAAATGGCTGCAACAGCTAGAGCTAGGCCAATCCAAAACCAAGAGCCAGGAACTTCTTCTGGGTCTCCCATGTGGTTGCAGGGGCCCAAGCACTTGGGTCATCTTCTACTGCTTTCCCAGGCCATCAGCAGGGAGCTGGATGGGAAGTGGAGCAGCTGGGACTCCAACCGGCACCCATATGGGATGCCAGTGCCACAGGCAGATGCTTAACCTACTATGCGACAGTGCCACCCCAATATTTATAAGCTTTTAAAACAGATAGTATGAGACATCGATAAGAACTGAAGAGGAACTTGTTTATTTCCAAAGAGCTCTTATTTGAAATATTATTTTGAAGAAAGTTATCTCCTTGTGCTCCTTAAGAGGATTAGTTATGTATTAAGCTTTGGTAGTTCTGATTAAAGAACTATAGATTTCTGCACGTTGTAGAATACACACTTTCAAATAAATATATGCGTAAGGTATATTTGTCCATTCATTCTGATAAGACTGCTTAGAGATTTTTGTATTAGAGGGTGGCAGATAGGTGAGCACTTTTCAGTAATAGATTATTTTATTAGTGTGATAATTTATAATATATAAACCTTTGTGTCTGAATAATTGGCTCATTGTTTAACAAATTAAAATATGATATTTAAAAGTGATGGGAACATCTTTTAGGAATGTTTTCTGTAATCCTTAACCAATACAGTGTTTTAGTGATAGCTAAAGTAGGTTTGGAATTTGCACTGAGAATTAATTCTAGTTATTGACAAATTATGTTTGGTTCAATTACGCCCCTCTCCCCTTTTTTTGATTAGAAATGGTATTTCTTAACTTTATTTTAAAAATGATGCCAAGGCTGTAATTCTTTGGCATTCAAGATGTCTTAAACAAAAATGATGTGTAATTCCTGTTGGATAACACAGAAACAAAACACATGGCTGCTCCTTGTAAGCTATCCAACTGAGTAGGGAAATATCTGTAAATTTTTTTTGTGTGTGTGTGTTTTAAAGATAATACTTTATAGATAATAAAGTCACATAGACAGGTAACATCTACAATGATTATATTGCAGAAGTTTGTCTTTGGTTCCCTTCTTCTTCCACTCATTTATTGAAAGGAATTTATAAAAACACACTTGACATTTTTGCATCTTATGTTCTGTGGCTAATTCATTTAAAATGACTTTGATTTTCTGGTGAAATTTATTGAAAATACTAAACATGAATAATAAACCATTTTAACTGTGAAAATAGACAACTGTGCAAGACCAAGACGTGAAAATGTCTATGCAAGAGGTTGTTACACATGTCTACCTTCTGATCATTTTTGTTAACCTCTTGTACATTTCATTTTGTTGAGTTCTGGCTGGATCCTCCCTTAAAAGGCAAAAGTCAGGATTATCATTAAAACACTGTGAAGGTAGAATGGAGTATCCATCAAGAAATGAAAACCAATGAAATGGTTTTTCAAGGCTTCTCAGCATGTTGGTTGAGCATAATACTCAGTAGTTACCTAGGAATACTGTTTTGGGAAATTTCAGATGGCAAGTGTGTTTTTACCAACTCTTCTCTTTCCTGTGTCTTCTCACTAACATGTTCTCACACAGTATGTTCTTTTTGGGCACTTGATAAATAGACAAGTTGATTTGATTCCTTTTTTTATTTAGTTTTTGACTACCTAGTCAATTAGTCATTAAAAATCTTTTAAAAATATTCCTTGTAGATTAGTCTTTGGAAGTTTTAGGATAAGTAAGTCAGTGTTTTTCCTCTTGTATTTTGAATTACCCAATATTTAAACTGTTCTATCCAGTATATATACCTTAATGAGATTTGGGGCAGCCATGGGCAGGTTTTCACAAAACTGTAAACAGAAAGAGTTCTTTTTCCATATGCTGCTACTAGCCATATATTAAAGGAACCAGTCAACATGAATGGATGAGTCAACTCTGGATGAAATACCAAGAAAGTAAACCTGGTTAACAAATTTATGTACACTGTTACTTCAGATCATACCTGTTTGTCACTGTTAATGTTCTTTATTGTCTTCATAAAGCAGACTCAGCCCAGAACATTTATTACTCATTGCTATAGCACGTATGAGTATACACATTAAGAAAGGTAGTTGGGGCTGGGTCAAAATGTACAAGTAATCAGACAAGAACTACTAAGAAAATGCTCAATTAAGCATACACTTAAAAACTATCACTATCAGAACTTTTTTTTTTTATTAACTATTTGTTTTGGAGCAGGCAGTGGAATGAGACAAGATTTTCATATATGCTATTAAGTAAGGAGCTTAGAAGTACTTAGGTTTGTGCATTATCTCACAATACTTTTCTCTGAAATGACAGATATCTTTCTTGTTTTGCATTTTCCAAAAGGGAGGCCAAAGAGGCCAAATGGCTGGACCAGTAAGCTAGCATAGACTAGAGTCTGGGATGTGGCATTGGTCCTCTGAAGAGATGCGTTGCTTTTACAGTCTAGGAAGCAACTCCATGTTGGGGTTGGTAGATACTTCCTGGTTTCCTAAGGGTTTAATTTAGCACCTACTACGTTAACCCTCATTGTGGGAGCTGTTTAGAATGTTATCAGGAATTACTGGTTAGTCACTGCCACTTTGGATGAAAAATCAGTACTTTCCTATCATCCTGTCAGAATTAAGGAGAGTTTAAAAATTTCTAATGGAGCCTCCAGCAAAACCCTTTTGGTCCCCAGTGCTTCGATTGCATCCCTGTGTCTGACCACTCCTTCCCTGGGTAGTACTAAGCATTTGGACCTCACTCACAAGCCTTCAGAGTCAACCGTAGCACTGAGTGCAGCAAAGTTAACTTTATTTTCTACCTTTGTATTCTTTTCAGAGAGTTTCACGATTCTCATTTGTTAGTCATTCTTATTCTAGTTTGGCTGTACAGTAAATCTTTGCTCCAAAATAATAGGCTACACTCATTACAGTGTGAGAGACATCCACATCAGTGAGTCAAGTTTATTGCTTCCAGCATCTCTGAGCAAATCGTTTCTACCAAGTGTAGAAAAAGTAGGTGCTCTCAAGATGGAAATGTGTTTTGTCCCCATGAGCTGTCAGTGTTAGACATTCCACCTGGACACATTCAACACATGTTTTGGAGTATTTCGTAGCTAATGTGATTCTGTTTTCTCAAATGAAGAAACAGGGCACATTGATCTTTTCTGAGCTTCACAGCTAAGTTATTATTAGACCTTAGGCCATTCTTGTGACTCTTATAATCTCAGTACATTATAGCATGACAGCAATGAACTTCATCCAGGACAATCATAAAGTAACTAGCTGCTCGCAGGTCAGTGGGAGGGATCTTTCACCCAGTTAGTTGAGATTGAAGTGTAAGAAGGGTCTGTGCAGGAGCTTGGTAGGGACCACAAGCAAATCTGTTTGGATACCCATAGAAAAAGTAAGGATCAGTAAATGAAAGAACTGTCCTGACTCTTTGTGTCTACTGGTTTACAAGATTGAATGGTTTTGAAGTATCTACACACTCGCTAGAAGTGGGCAGGCTCTCCAGTTTTGTCAGCCCTAATGCCCTCTCTTTGTAAAAGCCAGGGTGGGAGAAGTGAGCCTCTTCCTTTCAATTAGGTAAGTCTATGGACCTCAGTAACTAGAGCCTTTATTCTGACTGTTAATCTAAATTATCTTTCTAAGAACTGAGTACACATGAAAAGAGCTTGGGTCTTCTGTCTTCTTGTCAAGAAGTTTGCTCAAGCCATTGAAGAATTGATCATTTCTAAAAGGCTTTTGATCCTGTATTTTCTGATGCCAGTTTGTTCTTTAGAAAGATTTCTTTGTGTTTCTTGCATTTAGGTATAATTTCACATGCATACTATATTTCACAGCTTTTGGAGGCATTGAGCATAACCAAGTTGATCCACACTTTCTCCTATTGGCACATCAGTCACTGGGCCTCAGCACTAATGGGTGCCCAGTCATCAGAACTCCCCAGCGCAGACAATGTCATGATAACATTAACGGAATGTGACTGACGTTTTGTGAGTTTTTCTGTCTTCATTAAACTTGTTCACCTTCTCTGAAACCCCTCATGCTGCATGCTAGCACGGAGCAGCCGTATCCCTCGACCCAGCATGAGTCAGGGGTGCAGCCGCGATACCAGCCGTGAGAGCAGCCGTGATACAAGCCCTGCTCGGGGCTTCCCTCCACTCGGTGAGTACACGTAGGCGCTGGCCCGAGAAGCGGAGCATTCCTTTCCCTGCTCCAAACGCTTGTCCGAGACTCTGCTGGGTGGAATGACCTGCTTTCCCCTCTGCTGTCCTGTGACCCCTTCTTCTCTCCTCTTCCTTAGTTCCCCTTTGTTGTCCCCCTCTGCATGCTTGAGTTTTGGCAACTTCCAGTTTTCATTAGTAGAGGAATAAAGCTGTTGTGTTTATGGCCTCTTGCTATCAGGCAAGCCCATCCGTGTGGCAATTCCCAACATAAGACAAAACCCAGCCAAAGGTAATGGCTACTTAAAAAAAACTAAATGAGTTTTCATTTTCATTTTTGTAGTTTGCCGTCCTATAACTTGGGCATACAATTTACCTTTTTATATTGTGTAAATTATTAATCCCCAAAGATGTCTAGCAAAACATACTTAGATGAAAAATAATACTTTATATTCATAATTTTTAGTTATTTGGCTTGTTTCGTTCTGTACAAATATGTACTTTCCTCTTGATAAACATAAAGAATAAAAATCATTTTATAATAATTAAAAATTACCACGTGGAACTGTGGCCTACAGCAGCCTGTTATTTTGACTATGTGATTCTGTAACTGACCCCTTAAATATGTAAATGTCTCTAAGAAGGAGGATGTGAAATCAGAAATGTGTGGTCCTAATATGTGCCTCACTCTCTATCACTAATGCCACACAGTTCTAATGTGTTTTTTCCCAAGCTGGTGTCAGGAACCAGGGTTGAGATATTTCTGTACAACCTATTGTGCTGTATAAGGGTCTGAGAAAGTGCAAGCAGACAGATGTCAGAGCCCTACAAGAGGATTCCCTTGAGCTAGCAAGGAGGGATTCCACCTGCTTAACATAAGCTCCCTTTCGGCATGCAGACATTCCACCATAGGCTGACGCCTGAGAGCAGATGTCTCAATAAATCAGAGGCCGCAGTGGTGGGTTTTTATCTGAATGAATTGGTGATTTTTCTTATTAAGTTAAGGCTGTATATCTATGCATCATTGTTCATTTTTTGACCTTCCAGACAACCTATTAGGTGTAAAGTCAATCTGTTTATTGATTATTTTGCCTTAGTAACAACTTAGTATTTTTATTTTATACATCTACTTGTATTTCTGATATCATCCATAGAAGCAGCCTTTATAATCCGACATGAGTTCTGTGGACCAGGCAAGGTATGCTGAACTTTTGAGGACCTGATGGAACCCAGAGTGGTTGAACGTTCCTGCCTGTTTTTTACTTACTTTGGTTAAATGGATCTGCTTAACTGTCTTGGTGACAACTCAACATCTTAAAAGGCATAATTGCTAAAACCAAGGCAGATGGTATGGATCCTGACAAACTAGCACTAGCTCATGTTTTCTGTTGTGCTCAGGCAATGGCTAACATCTTCTGCACTGAATTTTTTTTTTGAAGATTTATTTATTTATTTGAAAAGCAGAGTTTCAGAGAGGCAAAGGCAGAGAGAGAGAGAGAGAGAGAGAGAGAGAGAGGGAGAGAGAGAGAGGGAGGAGAGAGAGAGAGGTCTTCCATCCACTGGTTCACTCCCCAGATGGCTGCAACAGCTGGATCTGTACCAATCTGAAGCCAGGAGCTTCTTCCGGGTCTCCCATGTGGATGCAGGGGCCCAAGGACTTGAGCCATCCTCCGCTGCCTTTCCCAGCCACAGCAGCGAGCTGGATCAGAAGTGGAGCAACCCAGACTTGAACTGTTGTCCATATGGGATGCTGGCACTGCAGGCAGTGGCCTTACCTGTACGCCACAGTGCCGGCTCCTCTGAGCTGAATTTTTAGGCCATGCCCTTTTTTCCCTTGGGTTCACCGTGTCTCTAAAATCCATGTCCAGCAACAGTGGTGCTCCTTTGTATCCACAACATTTGGGACGTTCAACAGTCACAATCAATGCTTGATGGTCCCTGTTCACTCTCTGGGACAGATGTTGGCATCATCAGAGTTAGGGATGTGAAACTACCTTCTCAAAGCATACTGATAAGTGGTAGAGTTAGGGTTTGAGTCCAGGTTTGACTGCAAGCCTGCCTCTTTTGAAAGTAGTTTGAATTCTGTGTCTTTCATCTTTCGTCAAAAGTGTATCATATGCTTTCTGTGAGGCCTCCACAGGACTAGGTACACAGAAAGTACTCCAGAGATGTTTCTGAGTCAGGGGTTGCCAGGCGCGTTTAGGACCTGGGAATTCAGGAAGATCTCAGAAGGTGGTTCTCCTTAGAGGGGCTTTCTTGCCATCCTTTTATACGTCAGTGTCCCTGTGCATCAACTTATATAGCCAATATTCTTTTTTTTTTTTTTAAAGAAAAGACAGAGTAATTATGTTTTGGTGAGTTCATATAGATTTTAAGTTTGCACTATTTTACAAGATTATTTTGGATCATTTTAATGGTATGAATATGTATGACTATGGTTACAGTGATCATTATTGACTGAGTGAAATTAGGGGATCCAGTACTTTGCTGTAAGTTAGGTTTGTCATATGCGGGTCCACCTTGGATTCCACTAAAGAGTGTTCACCTGTGAATGTAACAGAGGACTCCTTACATGACATATTTACTTTAGAACATTCTGTTGAAACAGAACCACAGGACTGCTTTATAAGGAATCTACAGATCAGGTATTGCTTAAAAACCATTTTGTGTTTAAACTATCAAGATATAATACTGATATGCTTATACGATAAACTGTATCATTTGCTTCAGTCTTAAAATACTTTGCCCACTTCCTTCTTTAAGGGAAGTGATAATTCTAAAATGTCTGTTTTAGATATTGCCAGTTGATTTTTATTTTTCTAATTGAGAATGGAGCGGTTTTCCTTTTGCAGGCTGGTAAAAATTTGTCCTCACTGACCAGGTAACATCTGCTGTTTAATGCCACATTTACCACAGATATGCACACATTCTATAAAGTGATGTGAGGTTAAAAAACAAGTAAGATGATGCTGAAGAGCTTGAGATTTTGATATTCTATGACAAAATGTATGTCAATGTGTATGGATAATGCTGTTCAGTATTATTTTGTCAAGCCTGTGGATTTTCCATGGTATAATCAGCATGAATTTTTCAGAGTAGTGATTGGAAGCATATTATCCTTTGTTTATTCCCTGAAGTGAAGAAAAGCCTGATATTACATAGAACTGTGGACAGTAGATCAATGTTTTGAACCAAGTCTTTACTGCATAATTACTTCTAAAGGTTGTTCCTTCTCCACATGAGGACAGAGTTTAGCATTTGTTTTCTCAGGTTGATAAGGTAATAGACACATTAGGAATACTTGCTAATAAAATAATACTCTAATATCTTCGTGAAAATTGGAATTTACTGTTCATCACAGCTGCTGCCACAAGAGTACTAACTGTTGTCACCACCAGCATTCACTCCATGTCTGGCACTGTTTCAAGTGCTTTGTGCATTCTCTCTTAATCCTCTCAGTAGCCCCCAAGAGGTAGGTATCATTGCCAGCACCGTCCTGCAGAGGAGGACATGGAGACTCAGGATGGTGTAGTACTTTCCCAATATCCTACAGCTAGTGATGATCAAAGCAGACTTGACCATGTTATTTCTGAGGCTGCCTCACTAAGGAAAAGTCATTAAACTTACTACAGCTAAATTTCTGTTAAACAAACCTTAATAATGAGAATACTTGTGTGACAGAAAAGCAAACATTTTGACCGGGGAAAATGGAATTGTGGTTGTCGAGCCTCCTTCCTGTGATTTCATTCTGTTTCTGTTGAAAGAACATTATGAACTTCTATGCTTTTGTTTTTGGTGCATGGTCGCATATGCCTCACACTCTGATGACACATCTTGTGAGCTGAGTTACTGATCCATCTTACTGCTATTCCACTCTGGGGTTTGGATGGTGCTCCGGGGCTCCTGGTACTCTTCATGTTGCATACTTCCATAACAGCTGATAGAGGCTTCACAGTGTGACTGCAAACCTGGAGGCCGAGGGTGCTGCTTCGGACTTACTCAGAGCACCTTAAAAAGTGCCCTTGTGCCCACTTATTGACTAGCTGTGGAGAGCCAGCCACTACCGGGGAGTGTGGGGACTGGCAGTTGCTATCCATCCATATCCAGCACCATTTCTTTCCATGAGAAAATGTGGCCTTGTTGGTAGCAGTCCCTGCATTTCCTGTGGTACTTCTGTGTTAATCCTGTGGGTGTTGCCGTTCCTTTTACCTGCAGCCTCTCGACGTCATTCCAGGTCCACTAGTGCTCTCTCCACTGCTGAATCTGTTGGGCAGTCAGGTGAACAAGTGCTAACTGCATGACTTGGCTTCTTCATATGTTCTAGTTTCACACCCATGTTAACATTTGTTTTCATCCGTGTCGGCTAGCAGTTGGCATGTATGCACCTCATATTTTTTTCCCCAATGTGCTTTTGTTTTTTTTAAGTTGTTGAATGTTTATAGTTCTGTTAATAGGCTGTAGATGCTTTATAGCCTGTTTGACAACATCATTTCTCCAGTGTTCACATGTATGTTTAAACAATCAACTAGGGAAGCACTTCTTCCCCTCCTACATCCCCCATCAGGGAAGCAACAACCAGCCCTAGGTGTTACATAGGGTCCCCGTGGGAAAGAGGGGTATGGATATCATCCAGCAGTGTCCTTCATCTCCAAAGTTGTCACCCCCCAATCAAGTATTGAACATTAATGTTAACTTTAAGTATCATTTAATTACCAGTGTTCCATACTGTGGTGTATTTAATTTCAGATGTATGAAAGTCAATGTATGATCCTAAGCATTTTATGGAAAAACAAGATGAGGATTTAAGCAATTAGATCAGGCCAAAGGTAGCCCTTGCAGCCTGTGAACCCCAGACCTTCTCAGCTCCATTTAACAGTACCAGACACCCACTGGCTAGCCATAGGGACACAATAATGCAGCTGTGAACCAGGCTTCACTGGCTTCCTGTTCATGTTTTCATGGTCCCTAATGGCTACTGTTTCTTTGCTGAGCAAGGCATGCTCTACTAATTCACAGACTCTTGATGGTCACAACCGTTGCATATTCATTGAGCCATTTTTCTCTGTTCTCTAAATGAAGCTAGCCATTCCCCTGAAGATGATGGGACAGACTGAGGGCACACTCCTATGTATCCATTTTGGACAACTGAGCTTCATAATACTATCAGTTCAGGGAGAATGCAGAACAGATCTCACCAAATTGATGAAAACAAAAAACTTATAATTTCGCTTAGATCCAAACATTTTCCCTTAAGATTTGAAATTCAAATGTCTCTGATATATCAAATGATCTATAGTCACTGTATATGGCAAAGCTGTATGCATCTAGGAAGCACAGAATAATTGCATTGTTCTTAGAGCTTTAATTTTGTGTCTGAAAAAAATCAGTATTATCCCTGGAGCAAGAATTGCTGGCATGAGATCTATTTTTTTTTTCAATTTTTTAAGAATCCGTTTCTTTTAAGTTTATGCTGGGTAATTTTTAAATGGCTTATAACTGAATTACTTTCATTCTGTTACTCATAAATCCCCTACTATCTACCCTTTTTTAATGGAAAGACTTGAATGAAGTTCATCAAAGTGTACGGTTAATCTCAAATTTATACTTGTTTCATATTTCAACTGACACATCTAAGTATTTAAATGAATACATATGAATGTTTGTGGTCTTTTTTTTAGTATGTGGCACATTAAGTCACCTTTCAAACTAGTGGCTAAGATGACATTTGAACCAGTCTGAAAATGCATTAAAAAAGGGGATAGTATAACATACAATTTTTGTTTCTTTATAATATTTCATGACTGTATAACTCTTAACTAGCAGTGTTTAAAATTTTTTTCCCTTTTTGTGGTGGTGGAAGGTATAATATATTGAAATTGATATCCCAAAAAGTTAAATACTACTTTATTTTTAAAGTTCACCAAAGTGCTGTCTTGTTACCTAAAATTTTAAGTGTGTCATTCTGTAGGAAACATCCACTCATGTAGAATCCACATAGATAGTATCTTCCCTTTCATTCTAAATGCTTCATTACTAGAATATGGCTAGTATTTACAGGTTTAGGTTTAGAGATTTTCCTTGTACAATGTCTTGTTTGTTAACATAGAGAAAACATTTTTTTATCGTAACATTTTTCTTCCAAAGTCAGTTATCGATAGGTGGTGTAGCACACTGATGAAGTATGACTTACACCCACTTTGTCCAGTTGTGCCCATAGTTTTGATGGACAGCACTTCTTAAGGAGGGCTGGTTACCAACTAATGGATTTCAGAAAGGGAGTCTTCATTTGCAGGGAACACTAGTAAGCTCAGCATAGTCTACTGAACTGCCAAAACTTGTTTGAAATTCTTTGGATTTTTTTCTTTTTTGTTTACCTACCTCAAGATTGTCGTTCAAAAATCCTCAGATAAAATTTATACTAAAATTATCTAAATGATTAATGTTCCACAATAGATACTAGATTTCTATGGTGATTGTTAAAGAACTGTTCTAGACACAGACATCATGATGAATAAGTATCCAAAACTAATTAAGCTTAATGTATCATACAGTAAAACAGCAGTGACACTACTAAAACTTGGACTAAGATCAATTAAATGCATTTATTTGAAATTTTATTCAGACATGAAGCCTTCTAATTAGTTTGACCAACCATCAAGGCCACTTGTCTCTAGCGGAAAAGCTATGCACATTAAAAGCTTCATTCATTACCCAGCTCCCTTCTATAAGTTCCTGTACCATCTTTCAAAACTTTTTAATAGTGAAATGTTATTATAAAGCAATTTAAATAGAATGCTTTGTGGCATAATAGTATTAAATGTGAACAGCTTCTACCACTGGCAAACAAGTCAGGTGTAGTTAAAATTGGCTAGAGATTTTTCAGTGCCTCTAGCCACACAGCGGGGAAAAGGCAGGAGCCTCTCTATGTGGGGGAAGAATTCTAATTAATGTGACACATCTTATGCTTTTGTTTTCCAAATAGACCGGTTTGGGCTTGGCCAGACAGGAAGAATCCCTGGCTCTGTGAATGCCATGCGAGTTTTGAGCACCAGCACCGACCTGGAAGCTGCCGTCGCGGATGCTCTGGTAAGAGGCACAACGTGTGCACAGGGCCTCTGGGTTGCCCTGCCCCTTCTCTGTCTCTACTGGAATTGTCCCCAGATCAGGTTACTGAGCCCTCTTTGGCATTCTCTAGATACTGGGTAAATTTTTAGTGTTGTTTTCTTCTTAAACTTTTCCTTCTGCACACACATAAGTGAAAATTGTCCTCATGGAGAATAGTAGCATCTAGTGTTTCCTCTCCTTGCTCCTCCGTATCCAGGAGGCTTTGATGACATCGGACCTCTCAGATGTCACTGGGCTGCTGGTTTTTGTTGTGGTTTTATTTTCTTTCTGATCACAGTTTTCCCTAGCATTTTCTTGTTTCTGTTCTGTTGCTTCTGTTGCTTTACAGACTTTGATGGCATAGCCTAAATATAAGATAGTAATAGAGTTTGAGGTTTGAGAATTTTGTATTTATTCTGTTACCTCACTTTTTTTTTTAAATGAGACCTTAAGTCATCATTTGAGCAAACTTTCCTAAATACTAATGTTAACTATTTGAGGATAAAAAGCACTGGTGGAACATGTGTTTCCATTATTGTAATGTAATACCTAAGACCTCAAAAGAAATCAGAACTCCTTCGAATGTGGTTAAAGCAAAAAGTCCTTGGTAGAATGGGCCTGAGGTCAAATTGGTTTCTAAAGCTGCATTTCAAATAGTAGTAAACACAGCCTCTTTGTCCCTGTTGATGTGCTCAGCATTTGAAAGAGATACCTTTTGGAACTGTCTTGCTTTTCTGTTAAAGGTTTATTATCTTGTAAGGAGAAAAGTTTGTATGGAATACTCTGCTTTCAGACCCAGGAGTCCTCATGAATCCGGCCATGTTCCATCTGATGAACCTTTTATAGTCTGTGGCTGCAGTGACGCCAGCCTTTGTCCCTTCTCCTGTCTCCTTCAGTTATTCTTGCTTAGTCAGATGAGTCCTGTGACAAATGTCTCTGAGAAAGCAGTTGCTGCTGTCACAGTGCTCTTCCTGCAGGCACACTGCCCAGCCAGCTCTATTCATCTGCCTTATGTGTAGAAGGACTTTTTTTCTGGCAAGTACTGGAGTTCAGGCTAATTGCTCTAACCTTGTAGAATTAAAGAGCTGGAACAGACTTCTGTGAAGCTGTTTTTCCTTGCAACTTTGAGCATTTAGCATCTGTCTCTTATTTAGAGACCCTAAGAAGTAGAGGTCAAAGGGGTGGGAAATGATGAACACTGAAACCTTCAATAAAATGGGACTTCAGTTAAGGTGGGGGCATTCTTTGTTCTGTAAAGAACTGCGTTAGGGACTGTGTGCAAAGTTCTAAGAAGCAGGACAGAACTACACAGTTCGAGTTTGAACTTGACTTGACTTGAGCTTTTCTCTAAGCTTCAGCTCCCATTATATTCACTCTGCCCCAGTTACTTTTTGTCCAGAACCTTTGGTCCCTCTGAGTGAGCTGCTTCAGAAGAGAAGACACAGGAATGGGACAGGCTAGAAGCCCCTGGGACAGACAGATGTCTCAGAGGAGTAGATGGTAGAATTAACTGAGTCTTCAGAGCCATGCCTTGCTGGAAGGGGAAGAATTGCAGCAAGTCTCAGAAGGTTTAATGAGAGGAGCAAGAGGGTTAGGAAACGCTATTTTGAAAGCATTCTTTATTATTATTCGCTTGATATGAAACGCTTGCTAACCTGTGTTTTTGGTTTGCTAAGAGATGTTTTGCTGTACACTTTTGTTGCAAGAACAATCCCCACATATGCTTCTGACGTAATTCTCTATGCTTTTTCCCCATCCTTCAATATTTTCCTGCCTACAGCTATTAGGAGACTCCAGGAGCAAGGTACCAGTGCTTTAACTTTTGTTTTACAACTTTATTTTTCTGTTGCAAGTGTTTTTTTTTTTTTTTTAGAAGCCAATGAAGGCAACAACAACAACAACAAAAATGTAGTATAATCTAGAAATACTGGTCTGAATTATGATTTTGTTGAATCTAGTGATGCCCGTATTGGTGATGGAGTCAGTCACCTTTCACGTGCATTTACTTCTCTATTTATTTTGAACTTCAAGCTCTGCTTCTTCTCCTTTTTGTGCTTCATTTTATTAACTCGGTCTGTGTCTAGTCCTGTGTCACTTTTGTTTCATGAATGGTTTTATTCTGCACTTTTCTTATTTTAGGAATCTAATTTGTGTATAAGTAGGATGATCATGTAATTTATCATCCAAACAGAAATACTTTTGAGAGTAAAAGGGGGTATGGTTAGTAATGTTGAAATAATAGGCATAAGGCAAGCTGGGATTAATAATAATAAGCCATATGATTAAAAAATTGCATTTGTGTAGTTTAAACCATATCTGTTTAGCCTTTAGAAAAAAATTGTATTTTTATCAGTTCTATATAGCTGTTGCTATATCATTTAGGGATTTAACTTTGAGTTTCATATTCAGGGTAAGAGAAATGAATGGAGTGAGCATTATAGTCTACTTTAAAATAAGCCTAGTTGTAAAGCTTGTAAGTCCGTAATAAAAATGACTCAGGTAACATAAAAGTCCATTTGCATAGGATGCTTCCACCAGTGGCATTACAGTTTCATGCTTTGTTAAGGAAACATGAATGTTCAAACAAGGTTACCCATAGGCCATGCTCAGGAAATACTGTTTTTGCCTGGGGAGGGGCTGGTGAGTGTGTACACCTGCAGCGTGTCAGGAGCTAGCTGGGCTGTTTAACAGATACTTACCTCCCGTCTGGGCGGGAGGGTTGGGAGCCTTCCTGAATTCGCTCAGCCATGTCTAATGCAGGCTGTGCTCCCTGCCCTCAGCTGAGAAGTGTGATGCTTACTACGTTTTCACCAACTGGAGGACTGCTTTTTCTGTTTCTGTTTTCCTAATCTCTACGTGTAGGAAACTATGTGTGTCCTTTCACATGCAGCTCTTTGTTGTTGGTTTTGCTTGTTCTGACTCATGGTCATTACACCTTTCCATTTCTTCCCCAACCGCCCCCATGCTTCATTGGATCTGTCAGAAGAAACCAGTGAGGAGGAGATACGAGCCGTACGGAATGTATTCTGATGACGATGCCAATAGTGACGCCTCAAGTGTTTGCTCCGAGCGCTCCTACGGCTCCAGGAATGGCGGCATTCCCCACTATCTGCGGCAGACCGAGGATGTGGCAGAGGTTCTCAACCACTGTGCAAGTTCAAACTGGTCAGAAAGGAAAGAGGGACTTCTGGGCCTGCAGAACCTCCTGAAGAGCCAGAGAACCCTGAGGTGAGGACAGGAGGCCAGATTGAGCCCCACGTCCCTGTCATCATGGAGCCCTCCCAGAGTTCCAGGGGCTGGGCCAGGTGCTGCAGGAACTCAGGCGGCCAAGGCATTCAGAAGCTTTGAGAGAGCTGGTGAATATTCTGTAATTTTTAGGCTTATATTTGTCCGGTAAATGTGGACATATGTGAGAAATCTTGATACAGTTTGTAATTAAGGTTAAAAAAATAAACAACCGCAGATCACTATGATTCTTAGGGATATGAATGAAATAGTGCCAGTCTCAGTCTAAAAATACGTTAATATACCTAGGCTTATAAATGTGCATAGTAAAGAGAGGCTAAAGTGGAGCACTCCATAATGTGACAACATTGCCTCTAAAACTGCTTATTTCTGCCTTTTTCTTCATTTTTGTATTTCATAAAGTTTCCAATATGAACATATGTTACACATACTAAAAAGATATCTTATTAACTCTAAGACACCATTGATACCTCATTATTTTATATCCCTTTAGTAAATGCTGCTGAATAAACCATGACAATACTGATAGATCATTGACTTATGATGAATCTCAATGACAGAGTTGGGAGAACATGAAAAAAAAAAAGAGAGAGATGAGCAGCTTAGAATCCTTAAAATACAGAATATTATATCCTTTGGATAGTTTTGTTAAGGTGTTACGCTCAATGACTGTATACAGAGGCTGCCGTGGCTCTACAAAGCTGGCCAGTGCTGGCTGGTGCCTTGCTGTACTCAAGGTGTGGCTGTTCAGGTAGTCTTACTCTTCCCCAGACCCTTCCCCCACCCTCATTCTCCATTCTGTTTATGAAAATGCTGCAAGAGCTTTTATCCTACATACTGTGACAGTCTGAGAGTGATCTGTCAAGAACACAATGAGGTTGATTTGTCATGATTGTTGCTCAGGAATCTGTTTAATCCTGGTAGTCCCATTTCTGGATTCTTAGTGCTCACCAGGTATACACTGAGTAATCTCTAGCACCTTGTTGACCAGCGTTAGTCTGTGTTGTTAACAGTATTGAAAGCCCATTTAACCAGCTCTCTAACCTGCATGGGAGGGATGACTGAGGGATGCTTTGGGGAAGAGAACATCTGAGCAAGCCCTGAAGTAAAAATGGGACTCTGGAGTACAGTCAAGGATCAGAAATGGCAGAGGGCACCAATGTGAAACGAGTGTTCGCTTTGTCCGAGGCAGATATAATATGTTGTCTTCTTTCACTCTATCACATCCATGTGACAGAGCATCTATCCTATTTGACTGATAAGAGAAGAGGCCAAAACTTAAATAGGAGGCTTAAAGATATCAGACTACAATATTTATAGGAGAATTGAGAGTAAGATCCAGACTGATTGGTTGAGCCCATTGCCTTTCAGTTGTGGTAGGGGGAAAACAGATACAGGGGTTTGGCTGATGGCTTTGTTACTTCCTGATATGTGAGCTTGAGTGAATCACTCTGGGTCTCAGTTTCTTCATCTTGAGAGCAAATCTGTGGATTTATATTCTTACTTAATGTCATTGTGAATTCAGTAAGACAATTCATTTGTGCAGCAAGCTCCTATAAATAAAACTTATGTAAAGCTTGTGGAGTTTACTGAAATGAAAGTATTTTTAAAAGCACAGCTATAACTATAGTTGCAGCATTGACTTATTAAAAATTCATTTATTTGTATTTTATTTCCTCTAGTCGAGTAGAATTGAAAAGGTTGTGTGAAATCTTCACTCGGATGTTTGCTGACCCTCATAGCAAGGCAAGTCTGAGCATCATGCCTTTCTTATCTTCCCCCTGTCTGCATGTCCACGTGAGCTGTATAATATGCCACCCAAGAATGAGTGGTACAGTTCCAACCTTACAAATTTTAACACCAGTTTTAGCAGTGGTCTATGTTTACATCTTTTAAAAATGAAATTTTAGAAATATAAATGTCCATAAAACTTCAACTTAAACAAGTATGCTTCCGTAGGAGTTGGTCTTTTATTTATTCAACAGATAATTTTGCATGTCTCCTGTTAGTCCAACAGTAGGCTATAGGTGTTAGAATGTGAGATTTTATTATAATATATAGTATATTTTTTAACTTACAGTAGTGAGAAAAATCAGTATATAATTATTTTTTAATCCCATGTAGAATTTGTCCTCATAGAACAAGATAGAAAAATGAAAGTATTTGTTTAATGGATTTATTGAAAAGCCAGATTATTTCTCCCATAGAGCAATAGAATAGTTATTTTGGCAATGGGATTTTGCTGCTTCCAAGAATTTGCTGGATGGTGGTCACCTAGCTGGTGCCCTCTCAGGGGACATCGGTAACACAGACCCTAAGGAATACCTTTCTGACAAGGGAGCCCCTGCTCAGGGTGCAACACCCATGAGTAGGGGACAGGGTCCTCTCTAGGGGCAGTACTGAGAGAGGGAAGATTTTTAGATAAATACCATTGTTTAGGAGGAAGCCGTTAGGGACTATTTATGTTTTTAGAGGAAGAAAATAGAGAAATGAAGATTTAGAAAAAGTAAAGTGTGGGTAAAAGGACCTAAAGTATGGGAATTGGTAGAATCTTAAATGTGCAGAAGCAAATCTTGAAACCTGATATGGCGGTTTAACTGTTAGTATATTATAGTTTCCTGTCAAAGACTGTTTCTTCCAAGTCTTGCTAGGAGAAAGAAACCTGTGGGTGGCCCAGTGGTCTAGTTGGTTATCATCATCATCCTTCTTTTCCTATCTTAGCTTCCTTATAGGCATTGTCCTTGAGGTATCAATCATCTATCCATCCATCCATCCATCCCCCAACTGACTCAGCATTTAACCTGCTCTGGGCCAGGGGTACAGAAAACAAGATATTGCCTTGCCTTTTAACACACTCACCAGAGCACAGTGGGGTGATGCAAGGGTTCTTGCCTCACACCCCACAATAGTCCTCACTCAGCATCAAGTTCAAAATATGTCTTAAAGTTTCAGTTATGACCCTCACAACAAAGTTAACACAAGCAATATTAAAAATCAAAAAAAGGCTTAAAGGTCACATAGATATCCAAAGATGTAATTATCAGGATTTTTTTTTCTGAGATAGTGTTAAAAGCAGTAAGATTTAAAGCATAAGCATAAGATTTATACCATAAAGGATATGGTTTTGAACATTGATGAAATTTCTGTTACCTATCACCTCTAGATGGCTGATTCAGAAGCAGAATGTGAGGATAAAGAAGGAAATTTGTTTCCATCAGAAGTCTCTTGTACAGTGAGTCTGGAGGTCTCAGTTTAGTTGATACTTGCTAGCTGTCCATGAGCTCAGCCAGGAGTCCCACAGCCAGGGCTAGCTGGTGGTTGTCCTGAGTCATCTCCCAGGAAACCTGTGGTGGAACCAAGGAGGCATGGGATTGGTGGGTTGTCCCTGGAGAGCGAGTCTCATTACCAAGGCAGTGCCACTTTTCTCTCTGAAAATTGTGTCAGAGATGTTCACAGCAGACCCTCTGTCACCTCAGATAGCAGTGGCCACACAGCCGTGTGAGAATGAGGGGAGTGGTCAGTGTCAGTAGCTTTTATTGTAAGCTGTAATCTTCTGTTACTTCGTAAAATCTGATCAGTGAGTTGATGGCATACATCAAGCTAATCAGTGAGTTGGCTTCTGGCATTTGCCTTGTTGTCATTATTGTTCATCCTATAATAGTATTTGTTGAATGCTAGATGATGCACAGAACTAATATAGAATTAGGACAGTTAGGAGTTTTTATTTCCTCCCTTCCTTGCGTCCTTCAAAGAAAAACCTCCAGGATTAAACTCAGAAAAGTTAACAGTACTGACTTTTACAGGCTTATATTGAAGGAAGGGAGAGTAGTTTATCAATTTATAGCTATTGCAGGTTTTTTTTTAAAAGAAAGTGCATGAAAATGGTAGCTTTTGCAGGTTTTTTTTTTTTTTTTTTAAAAAAGAAAGTGCATGAAAATGGTATTAATTTACTGTGGACTAACATGGAATTTGTTTTGTTGCATGGCCTGGGTTGCGGTGGAATTCACAACAGAGAGTAAGTCCCAGTGTTTTTTCCTTTATCTGTTTTCTGCAGTACATTTTGACCTTCTGAATTAAGAGCAGTGTTAATGGTGTTAATGTAATGTATGAGGGTCTGGGCAAAAGCCAGTTTGGGGCTTTGTTGACTTTGGAGAAAATGGTGAACTGAGTATATGAAATGTTTGGTTTTCCTCTGTGTTTAGGTTTTCAGTATGTTTTTGGAGACTCTTGTGGATTTTATAATAATTCATAAGGATGACTTGCAAGACTGGCTTTTTGTTCTTCTCACACAACTGCTTAAGAAAATGGGAGCAGATTTACTGGGATCTGTGCAAGCAAAAGTTCAGAAGGCTCTAGACGTTACGAGGTGAGTGCTTAGGAACTGGACAATTACAGGTGATTTCTGGACATTGTCTTCTGTTACCCATAGCCTTTGTCTCCCATGTGAACACCTCCTCTCTTCCTCAGTTCAACACTTCTTGTTGTGTGTCCCGTCAGTCCATGGGTGAAACACCATCTTTTCCTTGACTTGGCATTGTTTTTATGAGTGTCTGAAACAACTGTAAAACCAAATGTAAAACTTTGAAAATTGATTCTTTTCTCTTTAGAAGCACTTACAGACAACCTTTAGAATCTTGCTCACATCTTTCTGAAGACCTTGCCATTTTTAATACATTGCCTTCTTATATAAGTTACACTAGAAATTCTTCTATCCACATGTGATTTAGAGTTCCCACTGGTCCAGGAAAGTCTTTACAGTTGCATTAGCTCAGGGCTGCAAACATTTTCATAGCAGTTGTGACTCTCCTGGCTATTCTGAAGAAAGGAGGGCTACTGTGGCTCAGAAACGTTAAGAAGACTGATGGTGTGCTGTTGTCTGAGTGATTGTGGGTCCTCAGCATGCATGGAATAGAATTAAATGATAGCAGAAGGTACTACACGGTAATTTCTTGCTTGGGATTTGGTGGAAAGTGGAGGGGAATGGGTCAGATCAGTGAGTTATTTAAAAGAACAAATGAATGACTTCAAGTGACGCAGAAAATGCAAGACGCAGTTATTACAAACTAAAATAACACTAGGTATCAATAGAATTTTCAAAATGAGAGAACCTTAGACTCGATGTTCATTTTGTCAGTGAGAGGCAGAGGCTGCTCTGCTTTGACTTGCCAAGGGGTACACTTCGTGCCAGTGGCAGTCTGGGAGCTGAAATGTAGATTTCTGAGTCACTGTAGGGTGCTGCCCTGTAGGCCTGTCCTCCCCTCCTTTCTCTAGTGGGGTGTGCATAGATAGTGCTCGTGGTTTTTCTGTCTTATGTAGCTCTCTCCCAGCAGTAGCACACACTATCCTGCCATCATCTCTCGTGCGTCCATCTATTACATGACTCTGACTTCAAAGTGTTTGTTCAATGTGTTTGTTCCTCTCTGCTAGTATGCCAAATGTTTTCATTTGGCCCCTGACCCTGTCTGTTTAATTGGCACTGCTATATAGTTCTCTTATACATTGAGCAGGAGTTCGGCCTACAGGTTAAGATGCCAGTTAAGATGCCCGTGTCCCATATCAGAGCACCTATGTTTCATTCCTGGCTCCAACTTCTGATTCCAGCTTCTAGCCAGAGCAGATCTTGGGAAATAGCAGGTGATGGTCCAAGTACTTGGGTCCCTGCCATCTACATGGGAGACCTTGGTTGAATTCTCAGCTTTGCGCTTTGTCCCTCTCCCTGACCGTGATGGCCAGTGCAGACATCTGGGGAGTGAACCTGCAGATGGGGCCTGAGCTGTTTCTCTGTTTCTTGAATTTAAAAAATGAATTCCATTACCCAAATAGATTTTTCTTCTGATTTTCTTTGAACTCAGATTTGCAGTAAGGCTTTCAAATTCCACCCTTCTTTTTGGATGATTAAATTTAGTAGAATTAGGGGGCAATTGCCATTTGCCAATATGCCAATGATTGAAGATTCAGTCCAGAGATTAGGATGGGAGTGACATAGCTGATGTAAATGTAAATGAGTACAGTGGATGGGAGGGAAGATTATGGGTAAGCTGGGGAGCTACAGTCAGCAGTGACCAGACTTTTCAAAAAAAATTAGAAATGGCTATTTGAGACTTTTTAAAACACTGCGAGGGTCAAAGTGTATGTGACCACACTTGGGTCACATACATCATCTAATTTAGGTGAGTTTATGAATGGCCAGCTCCATTTCTGATTTCTGGAGATGGTCAGAATATTAAGATGGGATTCCTAACTTTGATGATAAAGGAGTTCAGTTGTGTCTCCTGTGAACTTTTGTGGATCCGCTTTTCACTACACAATCCTAAACTCTGTAGATTGGTCTGAGTCCCTAAAGCACTTTCATCATTCCTACCCCTTGCTTGACTGCTGTTTATTTACTTCGCTGGTTATTATTCAGAAGGCCCAGTGATGGCTGACAGTTACGAGACCTGAGTGCGAGTTTACCTCAGTTTCCTTTCCTTTCCTGACAACAGCACACGTTTCCCGACTTAGCACACCAGTGCTGAAATGTATTCGGCACCCACTTCTGTCTGCAGGCTGCAGATAGGAGGAACATTTTCTGTGTGGTTTGCTGAACTAGTCATTACAGTCATATATATTGAAGTGTATTTTGCTGTTGGAACTGGTCTCAAAGCTTGCTGGGCACAAATAACTGTTAGGAGAGAATGATGTTTTCAGTCAGGTTTACTTTTTATTAGTAATTATAATGATGTTAACACTGGAACCTAGTATGTGCCCCTTTCATCCCTTATTTCATCTAATTTTCAGGTCAGTCCTGTGAAGTAGCTGTTACAGCTTCATTTTACAGATTTGAAGCTACATCCTCCCTTATTCATTTTGCTGTCCTTCTGCAAATTGGGAAAATCTCTAAGAGGAAGTGATGTGATTACTCAGCCTCAGCTGGGATAGGTGTTTGCACTGCAGTCTTTATCTTGTTGATGTGGAAGTTACCTCGTGGTACTCCCCACAGAGCTCAGTTAGGCAGTTTTAAGCCAGTCCTAGTCATCGCAGCATTTTGAAGCCAAGAACACCGACTTTCTCCAGCGCCAAGTCCCTCAGAGTTACTAGCTTGCTTTAGGGATGTGTGATAACTGCAAGAAATAGCATCAGTTAACAGCATGAACTGGAGCAAGGGAAGGGCTCCTCAGGCTCCAGACTTCTGCGTGTAATTTGTAGCTGGGTGGGGAACTTTGCATCATCTGCTGTGTCCAAAGCCTTCTTACGTGGTGGGTTACAAAACAGAGATCATAAATAGGTAGCAGGACCAACGAGGACCATATAGTTAGCTTAAGCAGAGTCAGCTATCAGCAGCCTCACCAGCATGTAGAATTACAATTTGGGAGTCACCAGTGTTTTTTGTGTGAGCAGTATTCAGAAAGGTAGCTGAAGAGATGGGGGACAGATCCCTAGAAGGAGAGGGAGGAGTCACATTCTGTTTATTGCTTAAAGTCTTACTGTTTAAAATAGCTACTCAAACTAAGTGTAGTGTGTGTTTCATGACTTTAAACAAGATTTTCATTCCTCCTTCTAGATTTTCTATATAATATGGTATTTATGTAAAGTGAATAGTACCATTAAAATATGAGCAGAGTTTTACATGTATTTCATCAGCTCTTCCTTTGTTAATCTCCAACAGTATGTTTTTAATATGTAATCTTACAAATTTTTTGTGATAAATTTCTTTAAAAACAAACATTTTTTTTAACCTAGGGACTCCTTTCCATTTGATCAGCAATTTAACATTTTGATGCGCTTTATTGTGGATCAAACTCAAACTCCAAACCTCAAGGTTAGTAACTATTTGTCATTATAATTCAACCTCTATAACTTAAATTTGCTTTTTTACACATGACTTATGTTCAGCTATTGTAAATCGGCTATGAGCATTTTTGTTCTACTCTTTGTGGATATGTTCCCATTTCTCTTGGTTTAAAACCTTTTAGAGGAATTAGTGGTTTCTTGGAAAGATACACGTTTAACTTTTTTAAAATTGCCAAAATGGTTTAACTTTTTTAGAACTGCCAAAACGGTTGTGATGCTATTAGGATTAAAAATTTTCCCAGTCTGCTTGATGCTGGACAACCAATTCCCAAGGGGCAAGAGTTGATGCAAGGAAACAATTTTATTCAAGAGGCTAGCAGGCTTGGGGGAAAGCAGCTATCTTCAGTCTCAAAAGTGTTTTTACTCCAGAGAGAACTTTAGAAAGAAGATACTTTTAAATCTTAAAAGAGAGAGGGGGGGCGGGGAAACTGGGGAAGGTTAGAGAAGATATGGGTTCAGCTGATTGTTAGGCAGATTCTCAGGGTCAGCTTCCATAATCATCCTGACGCCAGGAGGCTCCCTTAACCTAAAGCTTGGCTGTTTGCAGTTAGTGGTTGTAAATTCTTCCTTATCTGAAGTTAGCAGTTCCAGCCATGTCCCTGCCATCAGTCCCTGGGATTCTTAAGCAATAATATTACGATGAATTCATCTGTTGATTCATCTGTTGAACTGAGCAAGCATTTTGATTAGTCCCAAGATCAGCAGTTCCCTTTTGTGAATTAGAAAGTGGAAAGAAAAGGAAGCTGTATTCACTTCACAGTTGCAGCTGGGTGGCTAGGCACAGGGTTAGAATGGGAAACAAGAAAGGAAGACACATTCATTATGGTCACAGTTGTACCGTGTTATGTTACTGCCAGCTCTGTCAGGGCTCCAGTTACTCCTCATGCTCACAAACATTGGGGAATTAGTCTTTCTCTCAATATTGTTTAATCAAGAAAATGAAGACATTCTGTTATATCGAGATAGGCATTCTTGTCAGAATGTTTCTTTAATGTTAACATCCTAAGACAATGAAAATTAACTGTTACGTGTTGTAGAAAATTGTAATTATAATAACGCGACTAAACGTGAAGGAGGACATGTGTGGTCATGTTCGTTGTATGTCCTACAGTCATTAACTCTTGTTTGGGTTATAGGATGAGCCTAATTAATAATCCTTTTCTCCTGGGGCCAAAATCAGTAGAGAGGTCAATGGAGAAATTAGAGCAGACCATGAGCTTGATGACTGAAAATCCTGCTTTTAGGGCCTGGCCCAGAATTGGTGACAAAACTGGCCCCGGAGTTGAACTTGCCCTCCCTGTCAGTGGCAGAGCTGCCCTGCTGGTTTGTATCATAACACAGGTGAGGAACAGAAGGTGGCTGTGTGCAGAAAGGTAGATCCAGGAGAAAGGAAGGAGGTTTTTCCTTCAACAAGGTTTATGTCTTTTTGACCATCAGTTAAGGATTGCATTCAAAAATTCATCATGTGTCCATGTTTGTAATCATTGGCTCTTTCAGGTCAAAGTTGCCATCTTGAAATACATTGAATCTCTGGCCAGACAGATGGATCCAACAGATTTTGTAAACTCCAGTGAGACAAGGCTTGCGGTTTCTAGAATCATAACCTGGACAACAGAACCAAAGAGTTCAGATGTGAGAAAGGTATGTGCAAGCAACCTAAAGTGTAGTTACCGACTGTTCTTAGGCATGTGAAGGAAATCTACTTAGAAATTGAAAGTCCACCCACTGTGCCAACACACAGACCTGTGTCACTTTTGCCTTGAAAATCAGGGCTTTGCTCTTGCTTCTTCTTTCTCCTGTGTTGCCCTGTTCCTGACTTCACATGCTGAAATGAGTCTGAAGTCTTATATGATTGGTACAGCTCAGTTTTCTCACACATCTGTTTTATGTGTTTTATAATATGAAAGTACCAGTTCAGTGCCTCTTACAAGGATGTTTGTTTTCCTTGTATCAGTCTATAACATGTATTTTGAAGATGGAATTATAGATCTAGAGCTAACTGGTTATAAGGTGCCTGATGGTAAGATGTGGTTGAAAAGTTTGATGAAATATCATGGGCACTTGATTTTAAAAAGGAAAAAACCCCTTTTGATATTATGCAACACTTGGAACACCAACTGAATCTGAGGAGTGAAGTGGGGTAGGGGTAGAATTCAGATTCTTGAGATACTCTGATACCAAGATGTTGTTGTTTTATTAGTTCAGGAGAAATATTTGCTACTTTCTTCTGAGATGGTACTTTGAGAGGGATACAACAAAGTAAAGAATACAGGCTACTATTACTTTCATTGGTAGCTAGTCATCTGCTTCATAGAATGGTGATAAGATTAATACCGTGCAGCATTAATCAGTCTCTGACACGCTACAAGTTATTGCTGTGGTTGCTGTTGCTGTTACTCTGGTTCTCTTCCTGTCGAGGTAGTATTCTGCTCTTGGATTTCATACATGGTTGTTGCTAGCTTTCCCTTTATAGAAAAGCTTTGCCTTTGGTACTTTTGGAAGCCAAATTTCTCACTTCTGCCTTCAGACTAAACATAATTTGATTTTGGTTATTTGTGTGTAATCATGAAGCTTGCATTTTTTTTTTCTTTTATTCTGTACTTCTTCCACTGCCATCTCTACCACTGTAGGTCTCTGGCCTTAGGGCAGGGTGGAACATGTGAACTGCTTGGGTCTGGGCAGGGCAAAGGAAGGCAGTCCCAAGCAATAGTTAGCATGTCAAGTGCAAGTGGTAGACACTTAACTGTCTCTCTAATGGTGTTCAAAGAAGAGAACTGAAGAATGTTCTAAAAGGTTTCTTTGGAAAGTTCACAGTCCATTTAATTCTCACATCCCTACTATAGTAATAAACTAAGTTGTCCAAAGTCAAAAGGACAAAGGTAAACCTTTTTAAAACAATCATACAGAATTATTCTAATAAAAACTAATATTTTTGATTCATGATTCTTTGGTAAAATATCTCAACATCTATGAAAAGAAATTCCATTGGCAGCATTTAACCAGTAAGCTCATTTGGAATTTGGGAGGTACAGTGGAAGATGACTGGATGATTTAGTTTGGCTTAAAAGTCAGAAAAGGATATTTCTGTTATAATTTTCCAAATCTCAAGATCAGCCAATGTAAACATAAATATTAAGTAAAATTTGATTTACGATCTTTAGTTATAACATGTTAGTATGAGTCTGTGCCAGTGTGTGTTCTCTGCCATGAGCTGAAACATGTTCTAGATTTGCATATTGCCATGACTAGGGCCTGTTTGGGAGCAACTCATTTTGAGCATTGGGTTCACTTTCTGTGAACAGGCACATTAGAAAATTTGGGCTTGGACTTAACTGTCCTCTTCTAGTCAAGACATTGCAGGAACTTCCCTGCTTGAACTATCTAAAAGCCTGAGGCTGTACAAACCTCAGCTTACTTTAATACCAGCTCAAGCCAAATATGATGAGGAATTAGATTTATTTATTTATTTATGAGGAATTAGATAGCACGTGCTTCATTGGCTGTTTGATCTTTGCACTTTCACGTCACAAAGCGCTGTCTCATTTAGTGTGCTACTTCTGATGGCTGCACCTGCTTCTCCCTGTTCCCCGTTATGAAGGCTGCCTAATCCCTTGCCTCTGGGCTGAATTCACACTCCCATTCTAACCCAACAATCTTCATCTTCTGAGGAATTTGAGAAATTTTAGATCAGTAGTTTGGCTGCATTTAAAATCAGTGTAGAGGCCGGCACCGTGGCTCACTAGGCTAATCCTCCACCTTGCGATGCCGGCACACCGGGTTCTAGTCCCAGTCGGGGCGCCGGATTCTGTCCCAGTTGCCCCTCTTCCAGGCCAGCTCTCTGCTGTGGCCCGGGAGTGCAGTGGAGGATGGCCCAAGTGCTTGGGCCCTGCACCCCAAGGGAGACCAGGAGAAGTACCTGCCTCCTGCCATCGGATCAGCGTGGTGCGCCGGCCGCAGCGGCCATTGGAGGGTGAACCAACGGCAAAGGAAGACCTTTCTCTCTGTCTGTCTCTCTCATTGTCCACTCTGCCTGTCTAAATAAATAAATAAATAAATAAAATAAAATAAAATCAGTGTAGAGTCCTGGACTCTATTTCTAGATAATTTTATTTACTTGGTGCAGAGCAGAGTCTGAACTTTGTGTCCTTTTTGGTTGGGATTCCTTCTACTCTTGGCTGATTTTTAATTAACAGAGTTCAGACCCAATATTTTAGAATATTGACCTGAGAGTAAATCTCTAGACATGTATGGGGCTGACACTGTGGCACAGTGGGTTAAAGCCACAGCCTGTGGTACTGGCACCCCATAGGGCACCAGTTTGAGTCCCAGCTGCTCTACTTCTGATCCTGCTAAGCACATGGGAAAACAGCAGAGGATGGCCCAAGTGCTTGGGCCCCTGCACCCATGTGGGAGATCCAGATGAAACTCCTGGCTCCTGGCTTTGGCCTGGCCCAACTCTGGCTATTGTGGGCTTTCAATACATATTTTGAATGAATTAATGAATGATAAACACCCACAGGCAAATTATTTCAAATGACATTTTGAAGCCATCATGTTTAAAAACTACAAGTATAGTCTTAAAAGTCCCCTCATTTGCCCTCTCTATTAGTTTTCTATTATGTAACAAATTACCACAAACACAGCAGTTTGAAACAACACATGCTTTTTTTTTTTTTTTTTTAAAGATTCGTTTATTTATTTGAAATGCAGAGTTAGCAGGTTCACTCCCCCAACAGTCACAGCAGCAGAGCCGGGAACTCCATCTGGGTCTCCTACATCAGTGACAGGGGCCCAACCACTTGGGCCATCCTCTGTCACTTTTCCAGGCACATTAGCAGGGAGCTGGATCAGAATCGGAGCAGATGGAACTGGAACCAGTGCTCATATGAGATGCTGGTGTTGCACGTGGCAGCTTAACCTACCATGCTGCAGCACTGGCCCCACAACACATGTTTATTGTCTCCCAGTTCCTTTGGGTTAGGAGTCTGGCATGATTCTCTGGGTTCTTTGCTCAAGGTTTCACAAGGCAGAATTCAAGCTATCCCTTGGTCTGTACTCTCAGCTGAGGCTCAGGTCAGCCTCCAGCTCACTAGTTGTTGGGAAAAATCTGTTTCTTATGGGTGTGGAACAAAGATGCCTGCTTTCTTTCTGTCAGCCAGGGGCCAGTCTCAGCTTGCAGGGGCTGCCCTGCAGAATGTTGGTTTCTTCAAAGTCAGCAAGACAATATCTGAAGAACTGATATTTAAAAGCTTCCCAGATTTGATGAGGAATATTAATCTGTGCATCTAAGGAGCTCAACAAACTCTAAGAAAAAAGTTCCACACTTAGACACATCAAAATCCAATGAGTTGCTCCTAAAACCAGCAACAGGGGATCAGCTCATTGTATCTATTGTACCCTCAATAATATTAACAGTTGATTTCTCATCAGAAACCGTGGAGGATGGAAGGCAGTGGGTAACATTCAAAGTGCTGAAAGACTGCCAGCCAAGAATTAATTAGTACACTGTTCATCAAAAATGAAGGCGTGGGGCTAGTGTGGTGGTGCAGCAGCTTAAGCCCCTACTTGTGACACTAGTATTCCATTTGGAGTAGCAGTTTGAGTGCCAGCTGATGTGCTGGTGATCCAGCTTCCTGCTAAGGTGGATTGTGAAGGCAGTGAATAATGGTCTCTGTACTGGGCCCTGCCACCCATGTGGGAGAACAGAATGCCTGGTTCATGGCTTTGACCAGGCCCATTGTCAGATTGCTCTTGGGGCCATCTGGGGAGTAGTAAACCAGTAAATGGAGATCCATCTCTCTCTCTGACTCTCTGCCTTTCCAATAAATAATTAAATCTTTTTTTAATGGAGAAATTAATACGAACACAGATATCTCCCTCACTTTGAATGTACCTGATTAACTTTGACCCACTCAGGATAGCCTCCCCTTTGATTAACTCAGAGTCAGAGAGGGGCCTTTTTTATGTCCAGAAATCCCTTGTGCTGGGTAACAGTCATGAGAGAGACATCAGTCCTGTTCACAAGTCTCACTCACTCAGTGGGAATGGGGTGGGACGAGGCGTCTGTAGCATGTTTTTCAAGGGGTTGGCAGGAATCTTCCATAGTTACTTGATAACTGCGTAGGTCTTACCTAAGTAAGAGGGAGTCTCCCAGCCCCCTACCTGGATCCCACTGGTTCAGCTTACTTAGCAGCTGCCCCTGTGCTGCATTCTGGGAACTCTTTGGGTTTGTTTTTTGGTCGCTTACCATATCTGTGACTCCAGATTATTTGGCTTTCTTGCACATAGCCAGGACTGTTTGATTGAAGCAGGTCTGTAAAAGCATGGGATTCAAACACAGATTGAGTATCTGTTATCCAGACTACTCAGGGACAGAAGTCTCCAGATTTCAGAACTTTTTTAGTTTTAGAATTTTTGCATAGGCTTAACAGATCTGCTTGAGCTTTCCCTAATCTATAAATTGAACTCTAAAATCTGAAGTTGTTTGAATGGTACGCTCAAAATGTTTTGACTGTGCATTCCTTTGCTCCATAAACTACAAAACTACAGGTTACACAATAGGACATGCAGATTCATCCTTGCTGGAGGCAGATCCAGTTTTACATAAAGGCCTTATTTTGGTGTAACCTCCAGTGGATATTTAGAAATACAGTTGCCATTATAAGGGATGAAGCTGCCTTACCCAAGATACTGAGATGTATTTGAAGCATTGTCTCAATGAATGTAGTGGTTAAATAAATTAAAATACTTTGGAAATTGTGATGTGATATATATCAGTGTGCTCTGAAATCTAAAATTGTCCTCATTTTTAAAGCAGTTGTAGAAATTAGCCAAGACTGGCCGGCGCCGTGGCTCAATAGGCTAATCCTCCACCTTGCGGCGCCGGCACACCGGGTTCTAGTCCCGGTTGGGGCGCCGGATTCTGTCCCGGTTGCCCCTCTTCCAGGCCAGCTCTCTGCTATGGCCAGGGAGTGCAGTGGAGGATGGCCCAGGTGCTTGGGCCCTGCACCCCATGGGAGACCAGGATAAGCACCTGGCTCCTGCCATCGGATCAGCGCAGTGCGCTGGCTGCGCCGGCCGCGGTGACCATTGGAGGGTGAACCAACAGCAAAGGAAGACCTTTCTCTCTCTGTCTCTCTCTCTCACTGTCCACTCTGCCTGTCAAAAAAAAAAAAAAAAAAGTGTGGGAGTGTTGACTGGTTGTATAGACCAAGCTGTATATAGAACACTAGTTCTTTCTTGGTTTTCTTGATGCACTGCACATGATATAGAGTGATAGACTGTGTTACTGATAGAAAGTAACTGCTAAAGTTTGGCCTCTATTTGACTTCTGACTCAACCACTTGTTAGTGGTATAAGCAAGTAATTTCATCTCTGAGTTCTAGTTTATGATCTGTGAAGCAACAATACTAATACTTGTCCCAGGCATTATTGGGAGGATTCATTGCCATAAAGCATATAAAATAAATATATGCCATGAAGCATATAAAATAAACTTGATTTCTTGCAGCTCCTGCTATCGTTCTTTAATTGTTGTTTTACTTTTGCTATTGTTTTATTGTTTATGGAACAAACAGTACCAGATTTTTCACCAGTATTTAGGAAGCCATGTGGTCAAAATACAGCAATGACAATAGAATTTTAAATTGTATTTTTGTATTTTAGGATTCAGAATGCCAGTAGGCTTATATGATTCTCTTTGTCAGATGAAGTTACAGATGCTCTTTTGAGAAATGTGGGAAATGAAGGAGACATGTCAAAAGAAACCTAGCAGGTAGAAAGACGCTGTTGGCCAGAGCAGGGAAAGTACATAAATAGCCTTTGAAGGGTGAAATCTCTAAGTGACTTTTTAAGAAATCTTTGATGACTGTAGAGACAGCATGGCCTGTTCTAAAAGCTAAGGGTTTTGTCATCAAGTAATGTGTGAATCTCAGCTTAACTATATAATTCAATTCCTTTCTGGTCTTATTTTGACCTCTGATCCTCTGTTTCATCATAGGAAGCAAGAATGCCACTACTTCCAGGAAGGGTAAAGGACCTAGCAAATGGTTGAGAGTCAAAACGGTCCACTTTTGTTGTTATTATTCCTAACTTTTTTCTTTTTTGAGTGTATGCATCTCAGTGATTTTATATAAACAGCCAAATACTTTTCTAGCTAACAAATAGCCAAGATTAATTAAGCACTTGCTGCTTCTCTGATCCCCTCCTGCCTTTCCTGTTTGCCAGTCCCCGCTGCAGCGTAGTCGAGTAGGTGAGCATCTCCCCAGTAGGTCAGCTTCAGTCTGCTCTGGGCCTGGAGAAGGAAACTTGGAAGAAAATTGTAAACAGGTAGCTTGAGAATCCTGTACTAATTTCAAACAACACACTTCACTGTTTGCATTTTAGATTATTAATACCAGTTACCCTTGTGAAGACACTGGGGAGATTTTTGAAGAAACCTAAAATTAATATGATAGTATGTGAGTGTGTGTGTCTGTGTGTGCACGCACGCACCTGTGTCAGTGTTTGTGTGTTGTGGTGTGTTTTGTGATTAACTGCTCTTCCCAGTGGAATAACCGTGATGAGTGTAGATTGCTATCATATTTTAATAGAGTAGTCCAGAAGAGAGATACTAAATGAAAAATGCCTACAAGTGTCAAAAACACCCATTTGGTGGTTTGATGGAGCAATTTTAATGACAATCAGAAGGGAGCAGTAAGAGTCGTTCGATAAACAAGAAAACTCTGCTTTTCCTCCCAAACTTTAGATTTTTCTCATGTATTGATCAACACTGAAGCATTGATCAAAGCTTTCCTCATGTCCTGTCTGCTAGGAAGAGTAAGGTGTATGGCAGTCAAGGTAGCTGATGGCCCTGGGAGTTCTCATCACATAGTAGTGGGGAGATTGAAGAGCCTTTTGTCCTCATCCCAGATTCCACTGCAAGGGTAGACATGAAAATCACTCTTTTTAAGTTGCTGTTTGATCCTTAATGCCAGTGGCCCTGGAGTTGTCAGCAGACAACTGAGTGAAAGTGTCAGCGGAGCACTGAGTCTTTAGCCTGGCTGTCTAATAGGTCTGCTTCCTGTTGAGACAGCAGTGCAGAGATAGGACAAGAATTGTGGTATGCTCCACTTTTTGAGTTAGTGTTAAGCCTGAACTATGCCCTAGGCTTTTTTTTTTTTTTTTTTTTTTTTTTTTTGACAGGCAGAGTTAGTAAGAGAGAGAGAGACAGAGAGAAAGGTCTTCCTTCCGTTGGTTCACCCCCCAGATGGTTGCTACAGCCAGCACGCTGCGCCTATCCGAAACCAGAAGCCAGGTGCTTCCTCCTAGTCTCCCATGCGGGTGCAGGGCCCAAGCACTTAGGCCATCCTACACTGCCTTCCCGGGCCACAGCAGAGAGCTGGACTGGAAGAGGAGCAACCAGGACAGAATCCGACGCCCCAACTGGGACTAGAACCCAGGGTGCCAGCGCCGCAGGTGAAGGATTAGCCAAGTGAGCCACAGTGCCGGCCGCCCTAGGCTTTCTTAAATACATTTTTCCAACCAGCTCTATATTAAGAATTATTGCTTTAATGAGATTATATTGGGGGTAACAATAAAAATAATCCTGATTTTTTCCTTGCTTATATTCTGATATAACATATTCTAGAAAGAAATGGTGGTCTCTTAAATAAAGACAGTGGCTCATTCCACCTAGAATTACTCTGTTGGAGAAGTAATGATAACATTTTATCATTTTCAATCAGCAAAATCCAGCTGCCTATGCTCTACTGAATCGAGGACATGGATTTTTTTTCTACTGCTAAAACACCAGTCTATTGCTTTCTTTTCTCTTTATAGTGCAATTTTTTCTGCATGCCTTGTTTTTTTCTAACATGTAATGATTTTTTTTTAAATGCACAGATTGCTCTGCATGATTTTTGGAATTTGCTGTGTCATACAAATATATGAGGGTACTTCAAAAAGTTCTTGGAAAAATTGAATTAAAAGATAATGTGGATTTTCCACAAACTTTTTAAAGTACTTCATAGGAATCATGTTAATAGTACATTAAATTGGTGGTGAAACAGATTTCTTCAGATAATGATTTATTAAAAGTGTTTCAGTAGTGAAACATAGAAAAATGCATTTTAGTACCATCAGTAATACTGTTGTTGCCTGTGATGTAAAAGTACACTGGCCACTTGTTTTTTAATAAGTGGAAAGACTGTTCATGGCTCTTCAGAGATAAAGAGAAAAAAGCTGTGTGCTTTTGCTCAGTGCTATGTTTAATGAATGCTTTTGCTAAATGTTGAAAGTAATTTTTGATTCTATAAATAACATTATTATACTGATACTCTTTATGCATAATTAATTTTTGTTTTAAGGACATTTGGGTCTTCAGATTTTTTTTTCTTTTTCCAGGCACAAAATAGCTATTTTCTCCTAAATAGGCCTAGTGTTATTTTTAACACTGTAAGAGCATTGAAGTATTTTATGATATTTATTTCCAAAGAACTTCTCAGCAAGCACATTTTTATATAATATTCTATATCATGGAAAAATATTCTGAATAAATCCTATAATCATTAAAAATCATAGTCTTTAAAAAGACTTCATGCTAAAAAATGAGAAATTATTGTATACAGAGGACCAGTTTTCATAATGTCTTCCTTTTTCTTGACTCTTAGAAATTAATAAGAAATGCCAATTGGTATTCAGTAAAATTTCCACCTGGCTTAGCTTTAATAATCAAAACCCTTGTGATTCATTCTTCAGGCATTATATGTTTTAAGCTCAGATTGCGTGCTAGTAAACAGTGCCGTAGAAAGCACATTACTTTGGAGGAGCCTGAGTCTTGCTGGCTGCTCCTGTTTCAGCCCATTGCTGCCCCCAGCTCTGCTGTGGTCGTTACAAGCAGTCATGCAGTGTGTTGCTTAACTAATAAGGAAAGTGGAACGTTGCCCAAAAGACAGAACAGCAAGTTTTGAATGTGCATCATGGAAAGTTCAGTTTACTTTCCAAAGTCTGTCTTCTCAGTTCATAGGTGTAAAAGTGCGAGTTTTCAGATGCATTTAAACTCTTTCTCTGGTATTTCTTGGTCACAAGGAGTGGGATTGAAAAAAGTGGTTTCTCAAGCTCCTGTGATGGCAGCTTGGTGAGACAGGCGTTCTTTCCAGGGCATGCTGGGAACCCTGTTCAGTCTGACTTGTTAGAGTAGAAACAATCTTATACACTTAAAATTTTTTTGATCATTTCATTTACCTATTTCCCTGCTTCCTTCATAGTGCCAGACAACAAAGGGAAAGTTGGAGGAATTTAGTATTGATGTGCTATGGAAATCCAAGACTGGGGCATTAAGATGAAGCAGGGTTTATTTTCCAGATTGAAGTCAAACTGTCTGTTATTGAAAATGTTGGTTTTGTTTTTGTGCCTTCTTATTAGTGATATAATTTACTTATACAGAAATATTTTCTCCTTAAGACAATTTTAATGAATATTTTGACCAAGATTTGCTATTGTACATCATGTAAATTAATCTTGGTTCTTTTTCTAGGCAGCACAAATTGTGCTCATCTCTCTGTTTGAATTGAACACTCCTGAATTTACTATGTTACTTGGTGCCTTGCCAAAAACATTCCAGGATGGTGCCACCAAACTCCTGCATAACCACCTCAAGAATTCCAGCAACACCAGTGTGGTGAGTGCCCTGGCTGTGCTTGGTGCCTCCATGCCTATCCTGACCTTTGCATATCCTGGTCTAGAACTTACTCTCACTGAATGACCAGCTTCCTTGTTCTCTGTTAGTAGACTATGAGCATCCCTAGTGGGGACCATATGCTTGTTCCTGACATATTCCCAGTGAAGAAGTGAACCTCGCATTTAAATATGGCCTTTTTCTTAGGGTAGTTTATTCTTACTAGTTAAATTCTTACTCTGTCATTTAATTGTTTACTCATTCATTGAGTTGGTCTTCCTTTTTTAACACTGTGAAGATACAAATGCTCAGTTGTGTCTGTCACTGTAGCACAACCCACATTAGTCATTCAACGCCAGAGATGCCTACATGGCAGCTGTTTTGGATTTACATGCATTTGAAATTGTCCTTGTGGTTCTGAAAAAAGTATTATGGGCAGATTCTACCCATTCATACACATGTAGGTTAAAAGAACATGGGAAGAGTGGAACTGTCTCCTGTAGACAGGCCCCTTGAATAATGGTGCCTGTTCTGCCTTTATCCCAGGGATCTCCAAGCAATACAATGGGCCGGACGCCCTCTCGACACCCCAGCAGCAGGACCAGCCCCCTGACCTCACCCACTAACTGTTCCCATGGCGGACTGTCTCCAAGGTAAAGGCTCTTCCACAGAAGTAAAAGAGCTGCACTACTTCAGTGTCTGCACAGCCTATTTGTAGACTTTTTGACTAAGCATACCAAAAAGAGTGGCATATTCAGGAGACCACAGGCTTAGTCCCTACTCAAATTCTATCTGTATTCTGGGGCAGAGGGCTTAACTTCTTTGGTAAGACAAAGAATTTGTGCTGAATGTTCTCTGTGGTTCTTCCAGCTCTAAATACTCTCTGGTACCTCACAGAGTTTAGAACTGAAAGTTGTATTTATTACTGTCTACACAGAATCCACGAGGGAGCTCATTACCTGTTCTGCAAGTGACAGGAGAATGTTTTAAAGGTATTTAGTCATCCAAGTATACCCTTTATTGTTGGCCCACACCAAGTCTCGAGTAGTCTTCCAGCCAAGGGGCCGTCCCAGGCATGCTTGTTCTCATGTCTAAAGCAGGCCCCACTGCTCTGGAAATAAAATAGTTTTGTGCTCTCGGACAGTCCTTGCAAACACTATGCAGAATCCAGTGCAGTGACTGTGGAAGAGAAACTGCTCTTCCAGGGGAACCTTTGGATAACACTTTTTGTCTGGACAGCCTTTTTTCTTTCTTTCTTTCTTTTTTAATATTTATTCATTTATTTGAAAGGCAGAGTTACAGACAGGCAGAGAGAGAGAGAGAGAGAAGTCTTTCATCCACTGGCTCACTCCTCAAATGGCTGCAACAGCCAGAGCTGGGCCAATCTGAAGCCAGGAGCCAAGAGATTCCTCCAGGTCCCCAACATGGGCATAAGGACCCAAGCACTTGGACCATCCTCCATTGCCTTCCCAAGCCATAGAATAGAGCTGGATGGGAAGTAGAGCAGCCAGGACTCAAACCAGCACCCATATGGGATGCCGGCACTGCAGGTGGTAGCTTTACCCACTATGCCACAGCAATGGTCCCTGGCCAGAGCCTTCTATATGGTGGCTGTAGTGATCCCCCTCACATGGGGCAGAGTCACCCATGACTAGAACAACAGGGGTCACATGGTGTGATTGTTTGCAAGAAGTCCAGATCCTTGGGGTCACTAAAGTAAGACCAGGACACTTTGGTCCTGAAGGTTGCTGATGCTGAGATCTTAAAAACACCACAAGAATGCCACTTCCCCTTTAAGAGTTACCTCCCTTACAAGGGGTTATCAAAACATAAAGGCTTTAGAATTGAGATTTTTAAGTGATCAGGTCTCCCAAACTGCTTTCTCACTCCTAAAACTCTCTCTAGCTCCTTAGCTCTCCTGTAAATGTTTTGGACATCTAAGTATTTTGTATACCTGCAAGATCCTACTGTTTATATTGCCCTTTGCTTATTCCTCCAGATGTCCTCCTGTGCTAAAAGTAGGTACAAAGAAGGATGTTAGGTGTCTAAATTCAGGCTTTGCCGTGCTGACTTCAGCTGGCTGTTAGCAGACATACAGCTGAGACCAGAAACTTAATGAAAAGATGTCTGGCTTTCCTTGGGTACAACTGAGGCTCCCTAGGCTTTCTCAATGCTAAGTTGTACACAGAGGTTAAAGAATGTGCGTTAATGACCATGATCCAGTGTTGGCAGGAAAATCATAAACTCCTTCCTGAAAGGGAAAATGCTGTGGAAAACTAACATTCTGTATAAACCAGTTGCCTTTACCTAGAAGTGGTGCTTGATTGTGAACACTGCTCTTCCATGATACACAGTTCATAATCTTATCTTTTAGTTATGAAGGTGGCTCATTTTAAAGCGGTAAGCCAAAAGCTAGAATGAACTGAGCTAAAAGGGGGATAGTTGTGTGTGCGCAGGAGCAGACAGTTGATGGGGCTGCTGGCATAATCCCTCAGGACCACAAACTGGCCACATGCGACCTTCCTGGGTCCCCTGATTGTTAGCAATTTTAATTATTTTTCCAATCACCATTTCTTCTTTGTTGTCCTCATCTTAATTTTTACTGTTAGGAATACAGATCAGTATAAGAAATAAAGAGTTTTATTTTCAGTATTAAAATAATCCAAGTGTCACCTAAATATTATCAACAAACTGGTCTTTTTATTTTAAAGATTTATTTATTTATTTGAATGTCGGAGTTACACAGAGAAAGGAGAGACAGAGAGAGATATTTTCCATCTGCTTATTCACTTCTCAAATGGCCTCAGAGCCAAGAGCTTCTTTGAGGTCTCCCACATGGGTCCAAGAACTTGGGCCCTCCTCTGCTGCTTTCCCAGGTGCATTAGCAGGGAGCTGGATCAGAAGTGGAGCAGCCAGGACTCCAACTGACACCCATATGGGATGCCAGTGCTTCAGACAGCTTAACCCACTGCGCCACAGTACCAGCCCCAACAAATTATTCTTTAAGGGATTAGTTTGTTATGGAGCTTCTTTGTTTAAAAAAATCGCCCTCTTTCAGTGCATAAATAACCAGATGCTCCTAGCCAACTTGAGCTCAAAAGGAGAAATGATTTCTCCTCACCACCCAAAACTATCTAGCAGGAAAAAAAATGACCTCATGACAAGAAGTAGTCCAATATGCTTTCCAGCAGGCAAATCATAAAACAGTGAATTCTTCCTCCAAGTCAGAGCATTGACTACGGAGGTGACACATAAGGTCTGCAGTACATTCCCTCAGCTGTGCTCTTAAACCATTGATTTTGTGTGACTTTCTGTTACTTTGATTTGACTGGGTGGTGCTGTTGGTTTTGTTTTTGTTTTTGTTTTTTTTTTAAAGATTTATTTGTGGAGCTAGCACTGTGGCACAGCAGGTTAACGCCCTGGCCTGAAGTGCCAGCATCCCATATGGGTGCCGGTTTGAGACCGGCTGCTCCACTTCCGATCCAGCTCTCTGCTATGGCCTGGGAAAGCAGTAGAAGATGGCCCAAGTCTTTGGGCCCCTGCATCTGCATGGGAGACCCAGAAGAATCTCCTGGCTCCTGGCTTCGGATCGGTGCAGCTCTGGCCATTGCAGCCAATTGGGGAGTGAACCATCAGAGGGAAGACCTCTCTGTCTCTCTCTCTCTCTCTCTGCCTCTCTGCCTCTCCTCTCTCTTTTTTTTAAAAAGATTTATTTATTTATTTGAAAGAGTTACAGAGAGAGAGAGAGAGACACAGAGAGACAGAGAGATCTTCTACCCATTGGTTCCCTCCCCAAATGGGTACAATGACCAGGGCTGGGCCAGGCCAAAGCCAATAGCTTCTTCTGGGTCTCCTATGTGGGTGCAGGGGCTCAAGCACTTGGGCCATTCTCCACTGCTTTCCCAGACACATTTGCAGGGAGCTGGATCAGAAATGGAACAGCCAGGACTTGAACTGGTGCCCATATGGGATGCCGGTGTCCTAGGTGGCAGCTTTACCTGCTGTACCACAACACTGGCCCCAAGGGAAGTTTTTAGTTTTTCAACTAATACTAAGTACCTAAATGTACCAGGTTTTTTTGTTTTTTGTTTTGTTTTTTTTATTTCAAACAGTATACCCGTGGATGATAGTAATAATAAGGAGCTATTCTAAAATGATAAACAGATCTGGTAGTGTCCTTAAAATGTCACTGTGAAGAAGTCTTTGTTACCACCCCCATGGTGTCAGGAATGCTGCAGCTGAAGGGTGAAGCATTGGTAACACATCCCCCCCGTATGCACGAGAAGAATCACGGGGACGAGATTTAGGAGCTGCAGCTGTTCGTCCTTAGGTACATGTTTGTATTTGAGTTCATCTTACACAGTGTGACTTTACAATAAATGAAAAACAGTTCCAAGGGACTTCAGCAATTGTCTGAATCGGAGTTCCATGCTCCAGGCTGCCATAGGATCTGAGCAGAAAGAGAGCAGAGTGGTGCCCCATAGATCAGCACTGTGTCCCCTAACAATAGAAGGTAATTAATGGTGCTTTGGTTTTAAGTAAAATCTCCTCCTGTCAGGATCAGATCTGTCCAAGGAATCAAGGTGAGCATTAATGGGGACAGTTCTCTTACCCTCAGAGGTGCTTCCTCCCCTTTTGTCAGCAGAGCTGCTGCCTAAGGAGCCACCCATGTTCCTCTAGTGCCCCTACCCCTGACTAGTGTGGGACTTGGCAAAGGCCTAGAGGCCCCCTGTGCCTCGGTGACCTCTCCACTTCACACCTTATTTCCTTCTAGAGCAGGGACCAAAGCTGTCTCTGGGGGACACTGGCATGCAGGGGATATTGCTTTTAGGACCACCTGAATGCCAGTGAGGGCAGGAGCTGTCTCTGACACCGAGGACTCTGTCCCTGGCCTTGCCTCATGTTAGCAGGCAGTTCAGCACCCCTTCCCTGTCTCTCATTCTATGCTTTTGAGCTGAAACAGTTGATAGAACTTTCTTTTTAAAATAAAGATTTATTTATTTACTTGAGAGAGTTACAGAGAGAGGGAGAGACAGAGAGAGGTCTTCCACCCAGTGATCCACCCAGTGATTCACTCCCCAAATGGCCGCAATGGCTAGAACTGAGCTGATCCAAAGCCAGGAGTCAGGAGCTTCTTCTGGGTCTCCCATGTGGGTGCAGGGGCCCAAGACTTGGGTCATCTTCCACTGCCCTCCCAGGCCATAGCAGAGAGCTGGATCAGAAGAGGAGCAGTTATGACATGAACCAGCACCCATAAATAATGCCAGTGCTTCAAGCAGTGGCTTTACCCCCTATGCCAAAGAACTGGGCCCAGAACTGTTTTTTTGTTTGTTAATAAAAGATTATTTATTTGAAAGAGAAGGAAAGGCAAGGGGTGGGGAAAGAGAGAGAGAGAGAGAGATATTCCATCACCTGGTTCACTCCCCAAATGGCCACCATGACCAGAGCTGGGCCAGGCCAAAGCCAGGAGTTTTTTCCAGGTCTCCCACATTGGTGCAGGGGCCCAAGGACTTGGGCCATCTTCTACTGGTTTCCCAGGTGCATTAGCAGGGATCTGAAGTGGAGCAACCAGGACTCAATTCGATACCCATATGGGATTCCGGTGCTACAGGCTGTGGCTTTATTCCCTGTGCCACAAAACCAGCCCCAGTAGAACTTTCTTGAGGAGCTCTGCACCCTAAGGTCCACGAGTGGTATTTGTGAAGGTGAAGACCTGTGTTCCCCAATGAATTTTAGTCCTCAGGTTAGGTGACAGAAGCAGACCAGTTTTGATTCCGGTTTCCCTTTGAACTGGCCCTATCATGGTGCTGCTGCTCTTTCAAAAGGGAATCGTTCCGAAAGCCGCTATCCCATGCTGGAGTGTGCTGGTCAGAAAGGAGCATCCCCAAAGCCTCCTGCCACAGTCCCCAGGCTCCCAGTTGGATTGAGGCCCTATAATTCTGTCTTGGTTCTTTCTAAAACAACTAACAAGTTATCTGAGGCTGAACAGCCCTATTTTCTTAAGTGTAAGTCTTATAATGGCCACCCCAGTGCTGGCAGCACACACACACACACACACATACTCACACACACTGTCTCAGGTAAGCACACTCAGATTACACACACACACACACAGTCTCAGGTAGGCACACTCAGATTCTCAGGTGATTTTAAGTAAACGTATCCCATGGTTGCGAGGGGAAACAATGAAGTAGTCTTAATGGCCAAATTGTAAAACAAAATTTATTCTTTTTCTCTGTATGGTGAAGTGTTAATTTTGCTCCAGCTGACTGAGAGACTTTGTCAAGGAAAGAAGAGGCACTTAGAATATAGCGCCTTCCTCCTACCCTGCCTTTGCCTTTTGTGTTTCTCTCTCTGATTTTCCTCTTCTGATCACTGCAGTCGGTTATGGGGTTGGAGTGCCGATGGGCTATCGAAGCACCCACCTCCTTTTTCTCAGCCTAACTCCATTCCCACCGCTCCCTCCCACAAGACTCTCAGGCGCTCTTACTCTCCCAGGTAACAAGCTACCTGTTAAACTTGTCTGAGGTGTCACAATATTATTGTGTTTCCACGGTCGTCTCAGGTCTTAGGAAAGCCTCTCAGCTGCCTCCAGACTGGTCCTGCCTTGGTGTGGCCTAGCAGGGGTAGAGCCTTGGTGAGAAGTGTGAGCAGGTGTGTGGTCTCGGCCAGATCTTAGAAGCAGGGTCGTGTCACATCCCAAGGGTGGATGACTCTTGTCACCAGACTGATTCTTCACCATCTACTGGTTGTCGGCCTTCCAGCCCAAGCAGTGCTCAGGCCCCAGAGGGGACCTCAGGAAATGCAGAAGGTCAAGGCAGCGGCACTGGGAAGTTCCTTAGCATGCGTCTCATGTCCCACCATCAGACGAGCCAGGCCTGCTCTTTCCCCAGCTGCACATATGTCTCTCAGCCCTGCTGGTGACTGACTGTGTGGACTGATTTCTTTCCCAGCCTGCTGTCATGTGGTGATAGTCTGGGCACACATTTCCAGAAAGGAAGCCCTGAAAGGTGGGCTCACAGTTACAACCCATGTCCCTGAGCTCCGTGAGACGAGCAGGTGTCTTCTGTGATGGGATAAGGGTTCTGTACACCACCACACCATCTGCTGTGTTTAAGTGCTGCACGGGTAGCCTCTGCACTGGAGATCAGCACTCCTGCTTTGTGTTCTCCACAGAGCAGAGCCATGTGTAGTGAACAGGTCTGAAAGTAACCTCCGGAGTGTCCAGAGGATCCTGGGCACAAAGGGCAAGGAGATACTGACCACTGCTGTCTTTAATGTTAATGAAGCATGTCACTACTTTTTTTTTTTTTTTTTTAAGTTAGCCATGCCTTGAAATCTAAGATTGACGTATTGGCTATCTCCCAGTATGCTTTCCTGCATGCCTTCCTGGGCACTAGTCCTCACCCCTATCCCTAGCTGCCAGAACTGCCTCTCCAGAGGACCTCCCCTCGTAGAGTCCTCTGTCACACCTGCGCACACAGTGTATACAATCTAAGACATCTAATGCAGTTAACACTTAGTAAATATCCCTAAGTTTCAGTTACATCTAGGAGAGAGCCAGCTGTAGACATCCATTTAGAAAACGTAGTAATTCCATAGAACTCAGAGGGAATCTACATCTCTCTCTTTCCTCTTTGCTAAAATTGAATTGATTTGTGACAGGGAATAATTATCCTTAGTCTATAACCCAAGAGATGATAAAGAAGACCTGACCTCCTGCTCCTTGCCACCCAGGATACAAATACAAATCCTTTACAGAGCAAGCCCAAGGCTGTATCTGGCTTCAGTGTTGGGTGACATGGCCTGACCTTAGGTCAGTGACTGTTAACTCCGTAACTCTTCCTAATCTAAAGAACCTTAAGGAAGCCCTTCTGAGGTCTAATCAGGGTGTTTACAGGTGACCAGGACCTGGCCTTTAACCCAAAGGATTATGTCCTGGCATTGTTTCAAAGTTGAACCAAGACAGGTGTGTGGGTAGTTGGCAGGTGAGGTTCACCTAACCAGCTCGTCCCTGTCAAGCTTTGGAGTCCTGCTGCTGCTCCCGGATGTGCCGCTGGTGGGGAACTTCCTGGGAAGTTCTGTTTCACTATGAAGTGAGGACTTTAAAGGTATTGATTTGAAGAAAGACAGATCTTAGCATAAAAATAGCAAAGAAAGTAGCCTTGTCTGTTTCCTGTTATAGGAAAGCAAGTGTGTCTCTCACCTGGAGCTCACAGTTTTAACTTCGTACCAAGGAGATACTTCACACCTCAAGACACTGAGTGCTTGTCACACACTTGTGCTCCTGAACTGGGAGTTTCAGTTGCTTCATTAATTAAAAGTGAGAAGGACGAACATCAACTGGCAGAGTCCTGTATGTTCTGATTTTAAAAGAGGCTGTTACAGTGATAAAGTTATGTGAACTGAAATGTTTTCAGAAAGTTCAGGTTAAGGACAACAAGATGAATTCTATGAAAGCTAATATTCTCTGAAGCGACATATGGAAAATAATATTGTGACATCCCTAAAAAAACGGAACATTCTCCAGACTTCTTCTTGTCCATTCCATCATTCTTTCAGTTTTTAAATTACTTTTTCATTTGCATGGGCTATGCTATTATTTTTGGTCGTTGTGATTGAAAGTATTTTAAGGCATTTTTCTACATTGTGTATATATATTGTTTGTTTGAGTCATAATGCTTAGTCTTTATATATAAAAAGCAGTGTACTGGTCAGATGTATAAATGCCTTTGTTCACATGTAAGCTAGTATTGTGGTGTGCTAAGAAAAGAGGGCCTGTTCCTCAGTCATGCTGTCTTCACGGGCGGGGGTACTGTCTCAGAGTCACAGCCTTGGGGAAGGGGCTGACGTCTTGAATTCTGCTCAACTTTTTCATTCTGCCTCTTGTCAAATATACATGGAATTTCAGCTGGACATGTGTTCAGACTTCACATTTCTTCTCTTTGGATGCCAGAGTCAATCTTTGAGTTGGCATATGTTCCTGTGAACACACCAAATACAGTTGGGGTGTGTATTTTCATTCATCAGGAAAGAAAGCTGGGTGCTGTCTGGACCAGTTTTGCAATTTTGGGCAAGTAGCTTCTGTCACTGTGAGTTCAGGTGTTGTGCTGTAGCGGAGCTTAGAGGATCACTACAGCCTCAAGCCAGCAGCAGTTTGGCTGCTGCAAGTGATAATGCTCCACATCTGGTCTTACTCGATTGCCCAAGTCTTAGTAAATGTTGCCTTAAGTTACAGGAAACTCACCATGTAGGAGTGTATAGAGATATTGCCCTTAGAAGGGTGCCTGCCAGTGGGGGCCTAGAGTTTTCAGTTACTACTTTTTGCAGAACACAAAGATGGCTTCTCTTTAGTTCTTAATAATATTGCATGCTTACATAGACATAGCCACAGATTCCACTGGTGTTCTTTATCAGTCCTCAGTTTCTGCCGGTTAGACTAACTCATCCACTCTTTTCTTGAATATTTCTCTTTTTTTCTTTTTAAACATTTTTTTATTTACTTATGCAAAAGGTAGAGTTACAGAGAAACAAGAGACAGAGAGAGAGAGAATCTTTTGCTGGGCCAGGCCAAGGAGCCTGGAATTCCATCTGGGTCTCCATATGGGTGGCAGTGACCCGAGCATTTGGGCCACCTTCTGCTACTTTTCCCAGGCACATTATTAACAGGGAACTAAATTGGAAGTAGAAGTGCCAGGACTAGAACCAGTGCTCATGTGAAATGCCAGCATCACAGGCAGCGGCTTAACCCCCGTGTCTCCATGCTGGCCCCTTGAATGCTTTCTTGAAGCAAGTGGAATTTAAGCTAAGCTGCCCTTGGTTGACAGTTGCTTCATATTTTATTTTCTTTATACTCATTTGTGTATCCTATGCTTCTTTGATATTCTCAGGGAGGGACAGTGGTGGCTTTTGTTCTCAGGATCCTTAGACATCTGAAAAGTGCTTGTTAGCAAACTACATTGCACCAAAAGGCTGTTGACACTTCTGCTTCATTTCATGTTTTGCTGTGCTCAGTGTCCAAAAGGACAATTGGGATCACTTTTCTGTGAGGTACAAGCCTTTCTTCCTTCTAAAAGTGTTTTTAGACGTCCATCAAGGAATGTGACTCATCTTTGTAAGATCAAGCTCCAGGTGGAAGCGTCTTCAGAGTCTGACATTCATGGAAAGTCTCTGAACTAGACCACCTGAGAGCTGAGCTCTCGGAGCCCATTGGTAGGTAGATCTGACTTTGAGTCAGGGTTGTTTTTGTTATTTTTCCTAAGTAGGGTTTTATGTGTTTCTGGACTGGATACTGACTAGCACGGCCCAGTCTTGTGAGATCGTTTGCTCTTCTCTGAAATTTGTTTGTAATACTAGCTTTATTTCCAAGTACCCATTCCTCTTAAGTTTGTACATTTGAGACCAGTAACAATCAAACTACTTTTTTTTTCCATCTTTAAGATAAGAAAGTTATTTTTTCACTGTCATCACCTCATTCACTCAGTCACCAGTTATCACTCTTTGAGTTCGTGCATTCTTGTGGTTATTGCTGTCTCCTCTGGTTCTTGTTGAGGGCTGATGGAATGTGCCTGGGACCAGATGTGACGAGGAAGATGTCTCATTGTCCAGTGGTGGTCCTCTAATAAGAGATGTCTCCTTTTCATCCCAAATCACCCACAGAAATGAAACTATAATTGTATCTCCTTTTGCCAATTACTGGAAATAACTTCTGCCCCATCTTGATTTTATGCATATGCCTCAATTCAAGAAATAAAATATTTTTGACCCTTAGCATGCTGGACTACGACACAGAAAACCTGAATTCCGAGGAAATCTATAGTTCTCTGCGTGGAGTCACAGAAGCCATTGAAAAGTTTAGTTTCCGAAGCCAAGAGGATCTGAATGAGCCAATCAAACGAGATGGCAAAAAGGAGTGTGACATTGTGAGTATCCCCAGGCTGATAGAGAACTCTGTTGATTAAATGGCATTTCTGAGTCTGTGGAGCACTGTGGTCACTGGGCCTCAGCATCATTTCAGTTCTGGGTTCGAGTAATGTTCTTTCAGGAGGCCCAGGGCGGTGTCACCAGCACAAGAATAACCCTCAGCTACTCTTGTGAGGAACGTCACATGCCTTTTTCCTCAGTTGGCTCTCATTTGTCCTGACCGTGTTTTTGTTCGTGTGATGTGATAAAAATGGGGACCCTGACCCAAGACAGTTGTGTGGTTCCCTGGGAGCTCCCATACCATAAAAAAGCAGGCAAATAAGCACAGGATGGTAGTGCCATGCAAGTGGTTGGGGCCCAACTCCAGGGGTCTTCAGGAAGGGTGTGCACGGAGGTGGTATGGTCCTCTGAGCTGAAGCCTGGGGGGTTAGGAGAGGTTGTCAGGTTACGCAGGTGGGTTGCAGTCAGAGAGCAGGGAAGTGTGAAGGCCGGGAGAGAGGAGCAGGTAGGGCTTGCAGTCCAGTGGAGAGAGCAGGTGGGTCATGGTGTTGGGTAGGGAAGAGCTGCAGAGCTCCGCTGCATGAGGCCATGCACACCAGGGGAGATGGGGCAATGGTTTCCAGCCACTGAGCAAGTTACCCAAGAGGCTCTGCAGGGCTGATCAGCAGGAAAGTGGCGTGACCACTCACATTTCAGAAAGATAGCTGTCTATGTGGAGTGGAGAATAATTCTGGAGGAAGTGAAATGGAATTAGGGCTATGTGCGGCTGTTGAGTGCTGGTGTTATTCAGTGAGGTAGTATCCTAGAAAAAGAAAAGATGCATTGTAGCAGCTTTGGAACATAATGATTTCACTTTGAATATGTGTGAACTGCAACCTCACCCAAGCAAACACACCCACTTGGCCTTTGGAGATGCCAGTCTGAAGTTTAAGCCAACAATTTAGACTGGCAATAGAAATTTGAGAGACACTGATTAAGCTACACGACAATGACTGAAGGAAAGTGAGTAAAATCACCAGTGAAGGGTAAGGACAGACTCCTCAGGATCAGCAGCTGTGAGGGGAAGACAGAGCTAGAGATGACAGGGTGGGGTGGTGTCATCAAAGCAAAGGAGACTGCTCAGGCAGGGCTCTCAGCCAAAGGGCCCGTGGTGTTAGCGGCGATGGGTCGTATAATAAGTGGAGGGACCCCATTAGATTTTTTTTTTTGTAGTGTCTCATTAAGTATCCTATTTAACATAAAAAATACATTTACTTACAGATGTTTTAATGTACAGTTCAGACCTTTCCTTTGATAATGTGCCCACTGTTTGAGCTTCCATTGATCGTTCTGTTTGTCTATCTGAGAGAGAGAGAGTGTTCCTATCTGTTCCTATCTATCAATCCCATAATGCCCACAACAACCAGGGCTTAGTCAGCGGTCAATCCAGGAGCCAGAAACTCATTCTAGGTCTCCCACATGAGTGACAGGGACTCAACTACTTGAACCATCACTGCTGCCTCCTAAGGTCTGTTCTGACAGTAAGCTGGAGTCAGGAGCCAGAGCCAGGCATGAAATCCAGACACTCCAGTGTAGGACTCATGCTTCTCAACTGCTAGGCCCAATGCCCACTTCCATGTTTTTTCTTCCACTTTGTGAGCAGAGTTCAGTGCAGAGTTGAGAGCAGAGACCAGTGTTCAGTGGGTTGAGGAGTGACTTGAGTAACAAACTGGTGGGAGCTGAGGGGTCATTCAAGGGGCTTTTTCAGGTGGAAGAGGCTTGACTTATGTAGATGCCAGGGGGCCCGTGAAGTGAACAGCTTGGCTTTTATGATAGACACACAGCCTTCAGGATGGGAGTATGAAATATGGGCTTTGGTGGAGCCACTGGCATCAGCCAGGAAGGAGGGCAGGTCAGTTTGTGGCAGGAAGAGGGCACATTCCTACTGTAGCTTCTGTTCTGTGGACAGTGAAAGGAGGCCAGAGGTGAATGAAAAAGGTTTCCAGAATCCCATGTAGCACACACGGGGATCCAAGTAGGAAATGGGTGGACCTGCCAAGAGCAGTGGAGGCTGTAGGAAATGGTGGGTGCACAAAGGACCATGCTTTCCAATGATCATGTGACACCTACCTGCCCCACATAGGAAGCCTAGAGAGAACACTATTTGCAGCCTAGGGTGGGTTTTTCTGTTCCTTTCTGTATGTGCATTTATGCATGTATGTGTGTAGGAAAGTGTGCAGTGACGTGGTTATAAGCATAGCATTGCACTGTGCCCCAACTGGGTTAGGACATGAATGCTTTCCAGATTGGTTTTCCTCTATGGGAACTACCATGGTTGCAGAATAATCCCTCATTTGGATGTGCTATAGACTTGTGTCCTGTGTTCTCTTTTGGTCATTTCGGCTTCTCCAAGTATGAAAAGACAGTGATGAGAACCAAAAGGAGTGAAACTTGACAGGGAGGAGGTAAAGAAGGTGAGGACTGAGAAGCCTCCAGATTACCCGAGAGCAAGTGGGAAGTAAGAGCCACAGGGCAGAGTCGGAGACAGACTGGGCTGCAAGAGGGCGGAGCAGTGAAAATCAGAGTTGGAGGGATGAGGCTCGAAAGAAAACGTCTCAGCCACCAGTTGTGAGGCAGATCTAAAGCTGCATTAGACGTGAGACTCAGGCACCAGTGCGTCCTTTGTAGACCCAAGCTAGGGAGACGGACGTTCCAATGGATGAGTATCAGATCCAGTGGTAAGATGATTCACCTGGCAGAAAAGGGAACGCTGAGTAAATTACAGAAGTACTGGGAGTGATGTGTATCAAGGTTCTATTCTGCCTGGCAGATATTATTTTTTTTTCTTGAGGAAAGATATATGCAGTATCATCTGAACTATTCCTAAGTATACAGCTGGGTGGCATTAAATATACTCACAGTGCTATGCAATCACATCACTATTGTACACCCAAAACTTTCTCAACATTCCCAACAAAAACTCTGCACCTCCTAAATAGTAACTCCTCTTCCTTCTCCCTTCCCCCAGCCCCTGGTAACCTGCATTTTACTTTATGTCTTTGTGAATTTGCGTATGGCAGGAATTTCATATACGGCGCAACATAAAATATTTTCCCTTTGGTGGGTGACTGACCTAATTCCCTCAGCCTAATGTCTCCAAGGCTCATCCAGGGTGCAGTGCATAGCAGACTCCACCCCTTCTGAAGGCCGAACAACAGTCAGCATAGGCACATACACATTCTGTTACTCACTTATGTGTGGAGGGACACTGCTGCCAACACTGGTGCCTAACCATCTGCTCTAGTCCTTGCTTTCGTCCTGTAGGATGTGTATACCTAGTGGAAGGGCTGGGATGGATTTGCTTCTTAATACCCACAAATAAGAGTTTATAGTCACTAAGATGTAGATATGATCAAACTAAGGATGGAAAAGGTTCAAACTGAATTTTAACATACTTTCTCTGGGTGGAAGATAATTCATGGATAACGTCGTTTTTCTTTATAACTCTTTTAAAGATCTATTACTATTGTAATGAAGGAATCAGTAGAAAGGATTAAAAAGAGCTTCATATACTTTAACAATAAAGTTGAACTATCCTAATTCTAATCACCTTTAACAATAGCAAATCCTTAGTCTTTTATGTGTGTATTACTTGGGTCTTCACTTGTGTATAGATTTTACACAGTGAGAATCCCATTGGTCATACTAGCCTGTATTTGCTTTCCTCACAGCATAAGCATTTCCCATGGGAATAAATTTTTGTAGCCATTATGGTCAATCATGCCACTCCTATTTTTGTTTCAACAAAATTTATTCAACTTTCATCCTTTCACTGTTTTCCTCTCAATTTTTTTTCAATTGTAATGTTAAACTATTTTTTGGAAATAATATCATTCTTTCCTTTTGCTGGGTACTTTATTTAGCACAGGTTACCAAAAGTTAAGATTACTGGGTAAAGGACATGAAGATCAGTTTTGCCAAATATGATTTCACTGAGTTCCAAAACAACTGGATCAATTTCCTATGCTGCTAGTACTAGTTCCTTATAATCCATCTAGCCTGTATACTTAGGAATAGTTCAGATGATATTGCATATATCTTTCTTCAAGAAAAAAAATAATAAAGCCAGCTGTGTACACATGAGAGCACTGTGTTTTGTCAGCATCACAAGTAAACGATTAATCTTAGGAGTCACCTGACACAGCCTGGCCATCACTGTATAGTCACAGTCCGAGACAGGGGAGGCTTGTGTTGCCCCATTGCTGGCAGTCAACCCTAACTCACTCAGTTACTGCAAAGGAGAGGGCCCCTTAAGGCAAAGGGCTCAGAGAACCAGAGGCTTAATTTATTGACAACAACACAGAACATATACTAGGAGAAAAATACAAAACTCAGGAAGTACTAACCACCTGCCCTGTGACACAGTGTAAAGAACAATTCTGAGTTAGAAATACCCAAAAGAAAGAATGATCTGCCTGGGAGGTGCCGAGTCCTCCATCATTAGAGATTATGAAGTGTTGTGTGGCTCCCCACTTGATGGGAATGTATGGGATACAAGAAAGTAATGGGAGAGCGTGCCTGGCTTTGTGATGGCAGGTGAAGAGCTTCTGTCCATGTGTGCTGGGTCGGGGAAGCAGGCCCCAGCTGCTGGCACTGAAGCCCACAGGAGGCAGTGCTGCCAGTGGGTCCTCACTGTGGGCACAAGTGGGTGGGAGGCCTTCCATTCTCAAGAGACTCTTCAGAATTTCATGGTATTAGCCCCTGAGAAAATGGACAGTAGATCATGGAATTATAAACCAAAACAGATCGGATGTGTAAATGGATGAATTTACACATGGATGAAATGGATGAATAGATGCAAATGTAAACAGATTCTGTCCTGTATATGGTAGTTTGTAAATTTTGTATTTACAGACTGAAATGCTAATAGCTATCCCTTTGTCAGACACCAGATATCAAGTGAAACATGTCTGGCCCGCCTGCTATTTCTGAGCATTAGAAGAGAAAGTCTGTTAAGAGTCCCGGCAGGGAACTGACAGTGTGCTGTGCCCCAGGTGTCCCGCGACGGGGGAGCTGCCTCCCCTGCCACTGAGGGCCGGGGAGGCGGAGAAGTGGAAGGAGGCAGGACAGCTCTGGATAACAAGACCTCCCTCCTCAACACCCAGCCTCCTCGCGCCTTTCCTGGGCCACGTGCACGAGACTACAACCCATTTCCCTACTCAGACACCATCAACACCTACGACAAGACAGCGCTGAAGGAGGCCGTGTTCGACGACGACATGGAGCAGCTTCGAGATGGTCTGTCCCTTCTTGTGTGTCCGTCCCCCCTGCACTCCCTCCTTGTCAGACCTGCTCTGGGTGGACTGTTCAAGGCCTGGGCCTGTTCTCAGTGGTCAGTTGTTCAAGAAGGATGCGCCAGCCAGTGCCGTGGCTCACTTGGCTAATCCTCCGCCTGCGGCAATGGCACCCTGGGTTCTAGTCCTAGTTGAGGTGCCGGGTACTAGTCCTTGTTGCTCCTCTTTCAGTCCAGCTCTCTGCTGTGGCCCGGGTGGGCAGTGAAGGATGGCCCAAGTGCTTGGGTCCCTGTACCCACATGGGAGACCGGGAGGAAGTACCCGGCTCCTGGCAGCTTTGGATCAGCACAGCGGCGGCCATAGTGGCCATTAGGGGAATGAACCAATGGAAGGAAGACCTTTCTCTCTGTCTCTCTCTCACTGTCTATAACTCTCTCTGTCTCTCTCTCACTGTCTAACTCTGCCTGGCAAAAAAAAAAAAAAAAAAAGAATGATGCTCCACATCCATACTGTGCTGGGGCCCAGGGCAGGGGTGGGCAGTGGTCAACAGAGGCCTCAGCAATCCTTGTTCCCCTGGTTGTGGAAGTAGCCGTGAAGTCACTGTCCCACAGCAGGCAGTGTGAGATTACGCAGTGATGGACGGCAGACTGCAGCGCCAGGGCAGGCCACACGCATGGGGACCGGGCCTGAGTGGGGATCTAGAGGCGAGGGGAGCCAGGATCAGTGCTTGGACAGGCCCCTGGCCTGATCACTCCCAGTGCCATGCTGAGAGGGGAGCTCCTGTCTTCTCACAGGGAAGCACTGTCTTCTCACAGCTGTGTCGTAACCAGATGTTGCTGGAGCTGTGCTGTGCTGACTTCTCTACCCTGTGGTTGATACTGAGTTGAGTGCTGTACACATGTGAGACAACTGAGGTAGAGGGATTAAACCCATTCTACAGATTAAGAAATAGGCTCAGAAAAGTTAAATTACTTGCCCAACATATAATAGGTCATATGGAATAGAGCTAGTCTGGTATTTTTCTGACTCTCTTGTGCTGAGACCAGTGTCCAGTGTTAAATAAGTATGTATTGGTATGATAGAATGTTATCTGGAACTTGTTTCACCTCACTGTCATGTTCACATGTTTTGTTGTATTTCAACTTGATGGTGATTTTTAAAAAAAGTTCCGTAGATCCATTTTGTTTCAAAGCCTACTTATTTCTGAAGCTTTCATGAAGAATGAAGGTAGAGGCCTAACTGGGAATTCTTAAGACAGTTGACGTGTTCACCAAGTGCCTATGTGTGTCAGGAAGTCTATGGGTCACTGGGGTAGGGATGAGGCACAAGACACAGTCCCTGGTCTCAGAGAATGCAAGGCCTGTTGGGGAAAGGGGAGGGACCTGAGCTCAAGGCAGGCCCACCTTCAGAGGAAGCCGCCAACTCCCTGGGGATTCCACAGTAAGGGGTGCCCTTGGTGCTGGTTGCTGGCAGGTGACTGCTCTGAACACATGTGGGCATCTGTTCCCAGGCAGCAGGCTAATGGTGCAAGGTGCTTGTTTGGATTACACATTCTGAGAGAAGCAGACTCTCATTGCTCATAGGACTGGCACCTCATTTACCTTATCCTTCATGGATCTTGATGAAGGTAGAATAGAGATTAGAATGTTATATGTTACTTATTCGCCAGCTGTGTACCAAAAGGCTTAAGAAACATGATGGGATGACGCAGGAGAAATGACAGAGTTCTTTAACACCTCCAGCTTCCTTGTGTGTTTCTCCCCAGTCTTGGAAACTGAAGATATAAGTAGTTCCGCCTGTTTTGTTCTTTCACCGTGTTTATTTAAAGTTTAATATTCAGAGTGGAGGCCTCCTAAAAGACCATGGCTCTGCCTCTGCCTTTGGTGCCATTGTTCTGTCCTGCAAATGATTGTGCTCAGTGACCGTGGGCAAGCCCTGCAGTGTTTGAGTAGACAGCCCATGGGGAGGCCGCACGTCTTGACTGCGGGCTGCTCGCTGTGCTGATCCCTAAGCTCTGGACATTGGAGAAGGGGACAGAGACTGATCAGATGTGAGGACGGGGAGGGCCCTGAGCATGTGCACACTGGAGTGAGTGGGTGTGACCGGGGAAGAGGTGTGAGGCAAGCCGTGGCAGAGGGAGAGAGTCTAGAAAAAGAAGATGGTCCAGCAGGGGCTTCTGGAGGATGCCAGCATTTTCTCCTCCGTGTGAAACGGAAGGGAGAAGACAGGAAATGGAGAGGCACTGAGCGTTGGTACCAGGCAGCTGGTCTTGTGCTGTTTCACATTTCATGGGTGAGAAGTTCTGCTGAGGGTATGCAGGGCGAGGCTGGGCAGCAAAGCCAGAGGGAGGGCCTCGCCTGAGAGATGTGGTGAGGAGAGAATAGAGTCCCAGCGAAGGCCTGGGGCTGGCGTTCCTCGTGAGGTGACCTCTGTCTTCTGTGTCTCCCAAGTACCCATCGACCATTCTGACCTTGTGGCTGACCTCCTGAAGGAGCTCTCCAACCACAACGAGCGGGTGGAGGAGCGGAAAGGCGCCCTGCTGGAGCTGCTCAAGATCACGCGGGAAGACAGCCTGGGCGTGTGGGAGGAGCACTTCAAGACCATCCTGCTGCTGCTGCTGGAGACCCTCGGAGACAAAGACGTGAGGCGCTGCGTCAAAGACAGGGTCTCGCCCTGGGCTTGGGTCGGCCGCAGCTCCCCTCTCTGAGGCTGCTCACGGCTCACATTTCCTGAGCACGCACGAGAAGGTCGTGTTTGTCTCGGTGACAGGCCTCATCCCCTGTGCAAGTCCTTTCTGTAACTGGGTCTGCAGTAGTTGAGGGAAATGTGTTCCCACATCCAGTCACTGAACAAAGAATTTCTTAAAATGTAGCTTGTGGTCTTTCGGAGTGCAGTGCTTTCCTTGTCTTACATCTGTTCCATGTGTAATTGAGGAACAGAGAAGTTCATCTGTTAAAAGCCCTCGTTTGATGCTCCATTCCCTGGAATGCCATCTCAGTTCACCCTACATGTGTGAACAGTTCCGGTAACATTAGGTCAGCTGGTGACCAGCTCTAGAAGCATGACCCTTGTAGTATGAATTTTAAAATCAAAAGGTTTCTTTGCCCTGGGACACGAGGCACTGGGGACCTGTGGCACTTAGGAGATAACTCTTAGGGGGCCAGGAGTGACGTAGGCACAGTCCTTCCTTCTGCCTATGGAGCCAGTCGCTCCTGCAGGCAGGCGTAAGTGTTGGGACTTGCCAGAGTTCTGGTGCACTGGCTTTGTGCAGGCTGGCAGTAACGACTGTGAAGGACGTGCGGAGAGCTAGAGGGTAGGGCTGGGAGGATTGCCAGGAAGCTAAACAGAACGAGGCGACAGTCTGTGCCCCAGGTCATGATGGTGGCGGCATGGAGGGGAAGGCCATGAATTTCATGGCAACCCTAATTGCTTTTTGTTGCTTAGGATTAATGGTGTGGGTTAAGGATAAGTAAAGATAGATGAATGATAATAAAAGATCTGTATGAATTTTTTTTTTAAAACAGAGCATTGGCTAAGGAAACAGTTGTGCTTGCTTGGGCTGTATCAGGAGACAGGGTGATGTCATGTGGCGGGCAGGTCAGCAGTGTGTTAGTGTGTGGGTCATACAGATGAGTGACAGAAAATCAGGATGTACTGCATGGCTCTGTTTGCGGTAAACTCCATTCTCCTTCACTGAGATTAGAAGTGTGTTTGGAATGGCTTTCCTCCAGAAGCAGGACTCGGCCTAAACAACTCAAGGCCTGTGCAGATCCACTGATCTCATCAAATGGGCAGTCGGAAATAGTGACAGGTTTCTAGCTGTCTTTTGAAGCTTTGTGCTTGTCTTTGGGGCACGTTTTACAGAAGGACAGTTTGTGTCGCAGAGCTGAGGCTCACTGATAATGAGGCATGGTCCCACGCTTGGCTCGTCCGGCAAGCCTTTGTTAGGTCCCTCCTAGGTGGTGGGTCCTGGGAATGTCACTGTAAGACACGGTGCCTGCCCTCTTGGTGCTCACCATCCAGGCCCTGAAACCATATGTTCTGTGGGAAGAGGCCTTCAAGAGGCCCCAGGAAATGCTGGGGAACCGGAATCAGGCACTCAGCCCCGTGGGACTCCATGCACCTCCTCCCCTGCCCCCGGAGCTGACGTGTGTGGCCATGAGCTTCATACTGTGTGGTGATGTCTTCCTTTCCTCTCATACTCCAGCATTCCATTCGAGCCCTAGCATTAAGAGTTTTACGGGAAATTCTGAGAAACCAGCCAGCAAGATTTAAAAACTACGCCGAGCTGACCATCATGAAGACTCTGGAAGCCCACAAAGATTCCCATAAAGAGGTGAGCCTGCCCAGAGCCAGGGGTGCTGAACAGCCGGGCCTGGGAGTCTGCATTATAAGCTTTCAGAAAGAGTCCCTTCCTGTGGGCTCAGCATGTGTCACAATACAAAGTCAGTTCCCTGTGCTGACCCCGTGGCTGGGCAGCCATGTCCAGCCTCCCAACGTGCATTGGTGGATAGGGAAGGTCTGACGTTCCGCCTCTAGGGTCTCGTGTGGAGGTGGAGACTGGCTTTGGAATCAGACAGGCAAGGCTGAGAGCCAGTGCTTCCTTGCTCCAGGTCCCTGGACAGGCTCCTTCTCCTTCTGAGCCTCAGTTCCTTTGTGTGTGAAATAGGAGTGGACATCCTCACAGAGTCTCACTTGAGAATTAGAGGAGATAATCAGAGCTGGCTGCAGCCTGATGCTGCTGACAGCAGGTGCCAGCTGTCCTGGCCTTCCTTCCCTGTTCCCTCTCTATGCTTCCCTCTGTAAGAGGAAGACAAATGGAGACAGCCTGCATGTTCCAAATGCTAGCACACTGTCCTCCTAGCCCTGAGACCTCAGCTTTCCTGTGGAGAGCAGCCAGGTGTGCCTCTCTGTCCTGCACATGTGCCACAGGTAACAGATGCTTGGCCGATCCCTGGGCAGTTGTTTGTAAAAATGTCCAGCTCCTGTGCTCCCTAGACCTTCCATAGCTAGAGGCCTACAGAGAATGGGAAGTAACTAGAGCCGTACTAAACTTGGTTGTGGTAACACCCTTCATTAAAAGGCACTGTGGAAAACAGGGTCATGTGTATAACAGGACAGATGATGAGCATGACCCCAAAGCAAGACATAACTTATAAGCTTGCTCGGTGCAATCTCTTGGCTCACTATGACTTATGAAGCAAGCTTGTGGGTGAACAGAGTTGTGAATCGAGCAGTCCTTACATCTACAAAGAGAATTGGCCTAATCGATTGCTTTTCCTTTTTGGCAGCCTTGTGGCTGCTCGAGTGGTGACTGCTTCGACTCTTCGGGTCCCCATGACTGAAGCTTAGCAAAGGCAGTGAGGGCAGGTTCCATGCCCTGACTGGGCATCTCTCACCTGTCACCCTCACACAGCACAGAATGTGTAGGCGACAGCTAAGTTTTAGAGATTCAGCTAGGTTGCTTGATGGTGATGGTTACTTGTGCTTGAACAAAACACTTTGCATATGCAGTAGCTCGGATGATTGACATGGTCAGCATAATTATCCCCTGGTAAGGAAAGGCGGTCTCAGAGGAGTGTACTGGCAGAACCAGGATGTGGACCACATCTTGTGTCTCTTTTTAGGGACAACTGACCTGTGCTGACTTTAGTTTCTTCTTACTGAAAAACATGATTGAAAACTGAAGTAAAATTGATTTATTTTACAAATGGACGATATCAACTGTTTTTGTGGGGAGGACACACTTAGAATGGGGCATTAAGGTGAAAATATATGCCAGTTAGGATGTTTTGGCACCTACTGAGTATCCAAAGATGTCCATCTTTTAATTTGGGCACTGGGGGGCAGGCACTGTGGCACAGCAGGTTAAGCCGCAGTTTGGGATACCTGTATTCCATGTCAGAGTGCCTTCGTTCTGGTGCTGGCTCTGCCCTCTCTTCCAGCTTTCTGCTAATGTGCATCTTGGGAGGCAGCAGATAATGACTCAAGGATTTAGGTCCTTGCCACCCATGTGAGAGACCCAGATTGAGTTCTGGGCTCCTGGTTTTACCCTGGCTCAGTCCCAGCAGTTAAATGCATTTAGGAAGTAAACCAGTAGTTGGGAAATCTGGCTTTGTGTCTCTGTCTCTGCATTTCAAATATTTAAAATAATTAAATGAATGTTAAAAAAAAGCTTCCTCTTCAAATAAATAAAAGTAAATTGAGCACCATGATTTTTAAAACTTTGACAGAGGATCCCAAGAATTGTAAGTTAACAGAAAATGGAAAATAGATTATTTTAACTCTGTTTTCTTGGAAGATCTTGTTTTTATTTTCCATGTAAAATAAGAGATTTAGAAGAGAAGGCTCTTAGGTGTGAGGTTCCTTAAGTTTCCCAGGGGAAAAGAGCAGAAAATGTCTCCTGCTTCAAATAAGCTTGGCAGCAGTCTGCTGGAAATTCATGTGCCAAGGGCTCCCAGGCCGCCATCTCTGTCACGTGCTAAGGCAGGTGCAGCAGGCACTGCTCAGGGTGTGTCTGTGTGGGCACGCCTGCCTGCTGTGCATACTTCTAGACTCACTACGCTGTTTCTTTGTCAGAAGCTGCTGACTCAGGTATTGTATGTTTAGGTCTGGTCTTAGGTTTGGGTTTCGATTTTGTTTTCCTTTAAATTTCTTCTAGTCTGTCTTTTAATTTTAGCCAATCTGTCTCATTCCTTATTTGTGTTTTTGTGGGGCAGGACAATTAGAGGTGCATCAGGTTTATGCTGTAGCCATCTTGTTTCATATTAATATGCATGTGTTATTTTTCTAATTATTTCATCTTTTCATCATCATATTCAGTACTTAGGACTCCAGACACAAGCTCAAAAGATCCTGAATGTGTCCTGACCCAGTTGCTGTGTTGGAGGCATGGTCTGTTTCCTGTCTTAGTGGTACTTGGAAGGTGTGTTGGTCCTGAGTGAACGCTCCTGCAACTTCCTCTTATGAGGAGCACCTGGATTTTATATTCGCAGACAAAACGCAGACTTCAGCAGCAGGAGGATGCAGGGCGCCCTGAGAGACGAGGTGCAGACCCTCCCTTGCAGCTGTGGCGGTCCTCATGCTGGCCCTCATGCTGCAGCCCTGGCTGAAGAACTGCAGTGAGAAAGGCACCTGGAACCACCGTTTCTGTCTACTGAAATTTGTCAGAAAAGTTGTTAGGGAGGCTGAAGGGGGCGGGGCTGCTGGTAAGATGGGTTTTCTCCTCATCCTGCAAGCAAGGGTCTGTGTTCTCAGCTTCTTTTAAAAAGAATGGTGTCTGTGGAACCTTTCTCTTAGATGTTGACAGCATACCAGGCACTTACTCTGTCTCCCACAGCATCCATGGAAACTAATGCAGAGGTTCTATAACAAGCAAGACTTGTGGAGGAGTTGGATAGTAGTGTAAAATTTTTATTTTAAAATTCTATAAAGTTTGTCAACTTAGACATGTTTTAATAGTCCCTATTTGAATAGGTAAGCCTCTTTCATTATCCAGCTCCTTTTTTGTCTTTTTATATGTACATCTTTGCTGTCACATTTCAGTGCCTCGTTAATGAAATGGCCATGGTTTACAGTAGTGGTGGCACTTGGCAAAGGACTTTGAGGGCAAAGCCTTGATCTTGAGCCTGTTTTCTGCTTTTCAAGATAACTCCATTAATTTGGACTCCTCTCATTTTAGCATTTATAGTCAGGATTGATATAGACCCTCTGCTGGCTGATAAAGAAGAGAGGACTTGAGAATTGGTATGACCAAAAGATTCTGGGGTCATGAGCATCTGTCTGCTCTGCTCCAACTGTGTCATCAGTTCTCATCACCTTCATATAACCCTGTGTAAGCGGGACCCTGTGAGAATCAAAGTAAAATGGCGTAGAAACGTGCTTTGATTAAAAACTATCATATGCTGTGTAATATTGCTACATAAAACTGGTTTCAGACATCCATACCTATTTCAGTAGCAATCATTTCTTGGAAAATTATTAATATGCTAATAAATAATTATACACAAATTTAAGGCAAGAGGAGTAGTTGCTCCTGGTGCTTACGCTGTATGTATAGTAACCCCCATGTTGACGTTTCAAGTTTAAACCTGCAGGAAGCAATAACTGTTTCTTGAAGATACTCCATAATTGAGACTTTGTAATCATTAGACTTGGCTTTTCTCTGAATTTTGCCACATGAGTGACTATTCAGTTGCCTTTGCCTAGTGGAAGCAGAAAATGTTAACATCATTCCGTGTTGCTATACTGGGTCACCAACCTTTCCTCATGCACCCACAAGTCCTGGCGTTGAGGGGGCTCAGATTCCTGCTTCAGGTGGCTTCACTTCTTTAGAGAAATCTTGATTCTTACATAAATATAAAGCAACCATTATTATGTCTCCAGGATTTCAATTTAAAATAATTGCTAGTTAATTTCTTTTTTTTTATGGTGAAAAAACATATATTTAGAATTAGCCAGCTGGACTCCGTTCAGATGATCCCAGTTTTGTTGGTAACGTCCAGAGCATCATAGTCAGGAGCCAGCCGCACATACGCCGCCTTCTCTCTGTCAGGGCTGATCAGGGTGTTGACTTTGGCCACATCAATGTCATAGAGTTTCTTCACAGCTTGTTTGATCTGGTGCTTGTTGGCCTTGACATCCACAATGAACACCAGTGTGTTGTTGTCTTCTATCTTCTGCATGGCCGACTCCGTGGTCAGGGGGAACTTGGTGATGGCATAGTGGTCAAGCTTGTTTCTCCTGGGGGCGCTCTTCCGAGGGTATCTGGGCTGCCGTCTGAGGCGTAGTGTCTTGGGCCACCGGAAGGTGGGGGACATGCGGATCTTCTTCTTCTTGTGGCTGTGGACGCCTTTCAGCACTGCCTTCTTGGCCTTCAAGGCCTTCGCTTTGGCTTCGACTTTAGGAGGGGCAGGAGCTTCCTTCTTCGCCTTTGGCGCCATCTTGGTGAAAAGCTCTAGTTAATTTCATATTTTATCACTTCAAGAAATTAAAGCAAAAGCAAACAAGAGTGATTTTCAAAAAGAGAGAACTTCCTGGGGCCAACTGTGTGACTTCTGTTTTGCCAGCAGTGTGGGGTATCTCACACAGACTTTGACAAACAGTGGGGCCAGGGCAGAGCGGTGGTGTGGGCCAGAAAAGGCCTGTACAGAGCTGCTCTTCTCCCATGCTCGGCACTGGGCCTCCCAGACTCTCTCAGGCCAGCAGCTGGGGCTCAGCACATGAGGACACCTGGGGAAGTTATACCACCTCTGTGGACCTTGGTTTTCCTTACCCGTTAGCCCCAGAGTGGACTAGATGGTAACCTTTGCCTCATCCAGCCCCAAGGTAATAGAA